TATCTACTATCTACTATCTACTATCTACTATCTACTATCTTCTATCTACTAGGGCTCCCCTACAAGATGTATCCAGGCCATGATGGAGTTCTCACTGAAAAGAGGAAGCAGAGAAGAATAAGAACAACATTTACTTCAGCTCAGCTTAAAGAGCTTGAGAGGGCATTCCAGGTAGAAGAATATATTCCATGTAGAATAATTAATTCCAGGTAAAAGAATATATTCCAGAAAGAAGAATTAATTCCAGGTAGATGAATATATTCCATGTAGAAGAATTAATTCTAGGTAGAAAAATTAATTCCATGTAGAATAATTAATTCCATGTAAAGAATATATTCCAGATAGAAGAATTAATTCCAGGTAGAAAAATTCATTCCAGGTAGAAGAATTAATTCCAGGTAGAGGAATATATTCCAGGTAGAAGAAAATATTCCAGGTGGAAGAATATATTCCAGGTAGAAGAATCTATTCCAGGTAGAAGAAAATATTCCTGGTAGAAAAATATATTCCAGGTAGAAGAATATATTTCAGGTAGAAGAATATATTTCAGGTAGAAGAATATATTCCAAGTAGAAAAATATATTTTAGGTAGAAGAATATATTCCAGGGAGAAGAATATATTCCAGGTAGAGGAATATATTCCAGGTAGAAGAATATATTCCAGGTAGAAGAATATATTCCAGGTAGAAGAATATATTCCAGGTAGAAGAAAATATTCCAGGTAGAAGAATATATTCCAGGTAGAAAAATATATTTTAGGTAGAAGAATGTATTCCGGATATATACAAGGTTATATATTTAGGAAACACATTACCCGGATATATATACAAGAGAGGAGATTGCAATGAAGATTGATCTAACTGAAGCTCGAGTTCAGGTAAATTTCTTTCAAAATTCGGTGATGTTGATGGACTAAACCTCTGTAGAGTAAAAAAAGTTGATGTTAGTTCCACATTTATTGAAAATATATTTCGGTCTGGGTTGACCCTCGTCAGTCTTGTTTCTGTCAGTTCTTATTAAAAATAAACTCATTAAATTTCTTTAGTATTTTAAGTCACTTAAAGGAACGTGTTATAATTCTTTAATAATTCTTCACTTTTGCACTAAATGTAGATTTTCACGACAGTTAATCACGATAGATTGATGGTTAATAAATGCATTAAAACAGGTTGTGCAAATTTAGATCTTGTTTTACATGATTCCCTACACCCTTCTCCCTCCATAAAATATTATAAGAATAAATTCCCCACTCCTGATAAACAACAGGTTTTATATTGTTTTATATTGATATCTGATACCTTACCATTTGACGATAGATAGATAGATGTAATTTGGCAAATATAGATAGAAAGATAGAGGGATCAGATGGTCCAAATTGACTTTTTGATGGATAACGACCCTAACAAGAATAACCATTATCAGTGGAGTGTTATCAATCAGACCAGAGATACCCCCCTTTATCCAACTACCCTTCACCCTCACATATAGTTACCCTTCCCCCCCTCCCTCCATTTTGTTAACCCATCTGATAATATTTTCGAGAAACTTCTGCAAATAATAATAAAAAAGAGGAAGGAAGGAAAGGAAAGGAAAGGAAACGAAGGAAGGAAAGGAAACGAAACGAAGGAAAGGAAGGGAAGGAAGGAAGGGAAGGAAGGAAGGGAAGGAAGGGAAGGGAAGGAAGGGAAGGAAGGGAAGGAAGGGAAGGAAGGGAAGGAAGGGAAGGAAGGGAAGGAAGGGAAGAAAGGGAAGGAAGGGAAGGACAGGAAACATATGTCTCAAAGCCTAAGGGTTGTTTATCAATAATATAATTTACAGAGAAAATCTCAACCCAGAGACATATTTATACCACCCCCCCCCATCCCAGCCCTTAAACATGGGGAACCCAGGGATACCCACCTCTACTCGGCCATAACATGGGGAATCTCCCCCCCCCCCTCTCCTACCAGATGCCATGACACCAGATGGTTGCACAAATAATTGGTAACTTTCGGAATAAATATTATATAAAAACACTTGATACAATTCATCCGGAAAAGTAGATATATGTTATATAGTATTTACGTATATAATATTTATAAGTCAACTTTTCTTCAAGAAAGCTGAAATATGTTTTATAAATATTAGATTTTCTACGATTTTGATCATAAATCTGACATGAACCTTATCAGCTTGAGCACTTTTCCCTAAAAAGTTCGCTTTCCATGAATAAACGAAAGCAATGTAAAACATGTTAATTTCATATTTTCACTGAACTTTGTTGGTAAAAATTAATCGCTCTGTGTCTTTATATGTATATTATAAAACATTATAAAACACTTTCAGATAACCAATTAACCTTATACTCGAGAAATCATTATTATTTTATCATTAATCCCCGTTCCCCCGTCTTCCCCCCCCCCCGCCCAATCATATTTACCGTCACTGACATCCATTTTCCTCATCTTTTTTTCTTATTTCAAATTTCCCAATCAATCCTAACATGTTCTTTCTCTTTTCCTAATCCTATTCCTTTAATTCCTACTTTCCTAAACCCCTGTTTCCTATTCCCTAATTCCTTTCCCTCTGTTTCATTTTACCCAAATTTTTATTCTCCTCAGTCTCTTGTTTCCGATTTTCCTAAACCCGAGTTTTCTTTTTTCCTAAACCCGAGTTTTCTATTTTCCTGAACCCGAATTTTCTATTTTCCTGAACCCAAGTTTTCTATTTTCCTAAACCCGAGTTTTCTATTTTCCTAAACCATATATAATATATAAGTCGTGTTCCAAAAATATTTAACATATCTTTTTCCTTGTTTAGACGAACGTTCCCAAATCGTTACTGGCAATTTTAACGACCATTTAACGATCGCGTGTTAGGGATTAGTGTACATTTTAAAATTAAGTAACATCACATCGGCTAAAAATATAAACTACCTAGTACACTTGTGATAAATCTTTTGTATATATTTGTATTATAAACCCATAAAGCCATTCGCTCATGCAGCTCTAACAAACAGAAACTATTTTTGGAGTTAATAATGTTGATTATTTCCTTATCCAAAACAAAAAATTCAGATTTTAAAATAGAAAATATATTTAAATTGTAAAACCAAACATTTATTGATTTTACAAATTCTAAAGTGGAGATTTTGGCTCTCAATCCAAAAAAAAATTTAAAATCCATATTGGACACCCCTGCTCAAAACACAAATGAAAAGTTTTTTTTTAAGTACAACTACAGTTAGGGAAAACAAAAATTATAAAATATCAGAGTTTGATTATGATATCGACTGAATTGATTAATTCCTAATAATTATTGATTGTATTGTCCCAATACAGATACTATCTCTATACGTATTGTAATTACAATTAAACCTAGTAATGTCTAAACATTAATCTGCCTTTTGTCTTTTTATCTAACTATCTATCTATTCTATATCCTTAGATATCCTCCCCACTACATTTTCATTACACAAATTGCCGGAAAGTAGCGCCACAAAAACTGCCGCCGCCGCTCTGATGGCGGCAATCTATATCGGACAGCATACCCTCCATCTTATTCTTTCTAGTTTCATTTCCTTCTTCAAGTTTCTTTTACGCGTTTCTTTACTTTTTATTCTGTGAGAACCAGAAAACTCCGGAGTAGGAAGACGACTGTGAGACTATTTGCCTTAAAACAGAATAAAAAATTTACTTATTATTGCGTTAATGTCGTCTTCATATTCCATCGTTTTCTGGTTCTCCGTGTATTCTTTCTTTTATTTTTCGTTATATCAGAAAGACGTAAATAAAACCAATGCGAAACTAAATATTAAAAACTTGGCCATCAGTTCGTGAAAATTTTACATTTTATGGGTTCGAAAGTGAACGTAAAATAACTCCAGTTTAACCCAATAAACATTGTATATTTCCGATGGTTTAGCGTTTTAATTGAAAAGTTTAAAGAACAATTAAATTATCGTTTTCCAACCTTAATTAGAGATCTAACACGTGGATTTTTGATTGTTTAGGTTTGGTTTCAGAACAGGAGAGCAAAGTTCAGGAAAACTGAAAGATTGAACCAACAGAAAGGTTCCCAGGTATATACTAGACATTATCATAATTTGGTGTACACTGCACAGTCCCTTTTTATCCGTCTATAGTCCATATGTACGACTTGCTGCTTCCTTAAAGTCAATCTACTTCAAATAGTGTACAATTAGTTGAATCAGACTGTAAATTAGTTGAATCAGACTGTATATTAGTTGAATCAGACTGTATATTTGTTGAATCAGACTGTATATTAGTTGAATCAGACTGTATATTAGTTGAATCAGACTGTATATATAGATTTTACCGTCGAACTATCGGATAAACATCTTAAATCCTTTATTTGACAAAGCTTTGATATTTTAAAAATTGAATTTGAATCTTAGTAAAAATTTGAAATATCAACGGTTTGCACCATCAGGTAAAAAAATACAGTTTGTTGGTAAAATATAACCATTTAAATATAAAATAAAATCTATAAAATAAACCTAATTATATAACTAATCTAATAAAAAATGAATAGAACTATATAAATTATTCAGGATGGAAACGGAAACAATAACAACCGTGGAGGTAGCCCCACAAATATAAAGTCTGAAGGGGGCCGAGGGAGCCCCTGTGAAAGGGGAGGAGAGGGAAAGGATGGAAGGACTCCCTCTCCTATAGGAGAAGCAGCTATATCCCCCTGTCCAAGGAGTCCGCATAATAATGGTAACACATTTTTTAGCGCTAATAAATTGCTACCTCTGAAACCCAGTTTTCCTCAAAAAATATTAAACCAAGCAAATAATATTCCCGTAGTTCTACCAAGTTCCTCAATCAAATAATATTCCCGTAGTTCTACCAAGTTCCTCAATCAAATTTTGAGAGAAAGAAGTTCACGAGTTATCAATGGACATAAAAAAAAAACAGAGAATACTACTTTATGTTAATAGATGACTTAAAACCCCGTGTCTATCTATCATCTTATATTGTTTAGGTTTAATGAAAGATGACCGCAACAAATGGTCTCCCCTTGCTACAGTAAACTCTGCCCCACTCGGTAGCCTGCCTCCCCAGCCCCCCTCCCCAAGCAAACACTTGGCTCCGCCCCCCATGTCTGGTCACTACACAAGCAACCACGGAGCCTACCATCCCTCCGGGAGCTTCTCCTCCCCCCTGACCGCCCTCCTGGGGACCGGGTCCCACTACCTCTTCAACTCAGAGTCCAAGGGTCCTACAGTCCAGATTTTCTAGTCCGTCAAACATAGAGGTTGAGGAACCCGTCCTCTTTAGATAAACATATATTTGTTCTACCCCCCCTACCCCCACCCTGAATCCTTTCATAGATTATAACCTAAATTAGATGTGTACAAAACCCCCATATTTCCTTTTCATGTATGTACCGTGTACATTGGGTCCAGTATTGTGTACATAAAACGGAGAAAAATTGTTTATAACCTTGTACAACTGAATTTTACAGAATAATTCATTATTTACTATGTTGACCTTGCCATTTGTAAATATGTTTATTTGCACTGTTTGATTAATTTGAATTGAAAAATTTACATAAATTTGTAAGTCTAGATTATTTATGTGATTTTAATTTACATTTTTTAAATCTAAAATATTATTTATGTGATAATATTTGATTTGCATAAAAATTTACAAAAACTTGCATAATCGTTTATTTTCGTTTATTATATTTAAACGTACATTAATAACCAAATAAAGAAAAATAAAAACACTTATGTAGATTTAAATTAGTATATGTAAAGAAAATAACTTATTAAAAAATGAAATACAGCTGCACACCAGGAAATTCTAAAGGAGGAGGTTGGGGCGGGTGGGGTGTGGTGGGGGGGGGAGATATATTTAAAATATTGTGCCCGAAGCGCGCCAAAATTTTGTATTTCTAGACTTTTAAAGGTATTTTGGTGTTTTTGTGTCATAACCCACACTGTCGTTTACACATGAAATTTGGGCAAACAACCAGAATTCAAAGATATGCAGTCGACAAATAAATATGAATTATTTCAATTTAAATTCATAAAAAATATGAAATGTTTAAGAATTGACAGCTTACATTTTTTTAATACATGCATTATTTTTTTAAATTGTAGAATTGTGAGTTTTTATGTAAATTTATTGCATTAATCCCCTTTCCTGGAGTTCCTATGAAACACATGAAGGGGTTAAAATGTTGAACTTTGTTTACGATGAGTAAAAATATAAACAATAAACCTGCTTGTACCGTACTGGAAACTTGAAATGTATAGAACCCGCACTGGAACTTAAAACTGTTTTCACCGTACTGGAAACTTGAAATCCATAGAACCCGCACTGGAACCTAAAACTGTTTACATCGTACTGGAAACTATGAAATGTATAGAACCCGCACTGGAACCTAAAACTGTTTACACTGTACTGCAAACTATGAAATGTACAGAATATGGAACCTAAAATTGCTTGTACCGTACTGGAAACTATGCAATGTATAGAACCCGCACTGGAACCTAAAACTGCTTGTACCGTACTGGAAACTATATAGAAATGTATAGAACCCTCACTGGAACCTCAAACTGTTTGAACCCTACTGGAAGCTATGCAATGTATAGAATCTGAACTGGAACCTAAAACTGCTTGAACCGTACTGGAAACTATGAAATGTTTAGAACCCTCACTGGAACCTGACTGGAACCTAAAACTGTTAACACCGTACTGGAAACTATATAGAATTGCATAGATGTAATGAATATTGTGTAACACTCTATCTGTAAACCTGAACTATATTGTACATTATTAAGTATCTCTGTTTGTAAATAGCTACTCAAAACTTGTATTGAAATTAACCTAACCTAGCTACGTCTGTAAATAACTAAGTCAAACCTGTATTGTGATTAGCTTAACTACACTTGTATATAACGTCGTAAAACTTACAATTTTGATAAAGTTTTGTCTGGATTGACATTGATTACTGAATTGAATAGCTCTTATGCCTTGTCAACCATAACAAGAGGGAACGAGTATCTATACAGATAAAGTCGTGTCCGGATTGACATTCATAGTAAAGTATTATTAAACTGAATAGCTCTTATCCCTCGTTTACCATAACGAGAGGGAACGAGTATTGGTACCCATAAAGTTGTGTCCAGATTGACATTGACAGTGGTATTTGTGGCACCATGAGTTCCTGATTGAGTTGTACTTGGATTGATACGGTTCTGAAAGACTTTTATGGAGTAGGGCATTTACTACATAGAATCTGCATTGGAACCTAGAACTGTTTACACCGTACTGGCAACTATGCTAAATGTATAAAATCTGCACTAGAATCTACAACTGCTTGTACCGTACTGGAAACTATGAAATGTACGTATAGAATCCGCATTGGAACCTAAAACTGTTTACACCGTACTAGAAACTATGAAATCTATAGAACCCGCACTGGAACCTAAAACTGTTTACACCGTACTGGAAACTATGAAATCTATAAAACCCGCACTGGAATCTATAACTGTTTACACCATACTGGAAACTATGAAATCTATAGAACCCGCACTGGAACCTAAAACTGCTTGTACCGTACTGGAAACTATATGGAAATGTATAGAACCCACACTGGAACCTAAAACTGTTTGAACCGTACTTGAAAATATGAAATGTATAGAACCCGCACTGAAACCTAAAACTGCTTGTACCGTACTGGAAACTATGAAATGTACAGAATCCGCACTGGAAAGCTAAAACTGCTTGTACCGTACCGGAAACTATGAAATCTATAGAACCCGCACTGGAACCTAAAACTGCTTGTACCGTACTGGAAACTATGCGATGTATAGAACCCGCACTGGAACCTAAAACTGCTTGTACCATACTGGAAACTATGCAATGTACAGAATCCGCACTGGATCCTAAAACTGTTTGTACCATACTGGAAACTATGAAATGTATAGAACCCGCATTGGAACCTAAAACAGCTTGTACAGTACTGGAAACTATGAAATGTATAGAACCCGCAATGGAACCTAAAATTGCTTGTACCGTACTGGAAACTATGAAATGTATAGAACCCGCATTGGAACCTAAAACAGCTTGTACCATACTGGAAACTACGAAATGTATAGAACCCACACTGGAACCTAAAACTGCTTGTACCTTACTAGAAACTATGAAATGTATAGAACCCGCACTGGAACCTAAAACAGCTTGTACCTTAATAGAAGCTATGCAATGTATAGATCCATTACCGGAATCTAAAACAGTGTGTACCGTACTGGGAAAAAAGTTTGATTGCCTCAAAATGAAAGTTGCTTCATTTATTCTGGAACCACCCTGTATATCTACAGTAGGCAGCTTAACAGCTGTATTTACAACTAAATATTGTGAGATTATCCCTTGGTTTAACACTGCTAATTCTAAACATTGAATATTTTATACTAAACAAAACCTCAAACAAATTCCCTTTACACATAACATACTTTCTCCCTTCATGGTGATTCAGATATTGAGGATTAAAGGGACTGTAAGCGTGATTTCTAGTAAACCTCCATACAAAGAGGGGAGTGCCCGATTTACCCTTTAAACCTTTGACTGATCATTAACGGCGGAGAACTCTGTGTGTTCCCTTAAAATGACGTTCAAATTGCCAAAAATTTACGCTAGCGTACAGTTTGAAACCAATCTTTTTCTGCGATTTTTGGATAGTAATTATTAGTATCTTAGATAAAAATGATGGTTATTTTGCCCATTTATACAAGTTTAGCTATTTTTGTCTATTTTGTTGTTTTTTGCATGTTTAGGGTATCACGTATTGGGTCATTAACGATTTGTGTGAGGATTTTAAATGACAGAACAAAATTTGTTTAATCTGATGCTGCCTGGACATACTTAGCATTAGTTAATAGTTAGTTTTGCTTTAACCTACTCTTGTATGAACCAATGTCTCTTTTCCTCTTCTCCCCATTTGCTCATCTTATAGATTTTTCCACCGCCCCCCCCCTCACTTTCTAGATTATTTCTTCGTTCTAATTTCGTTAAGGATTTAAATTGTTTCCGGAATTTTTCTTTTTGTAACTTTTCGATAAATGCATTACATTTTTAGTATCTTTAGAATATTTGTAAAAAAAAGTGTATATTTGTTTAGTTTTCATAAAAACAAAAACATTTTACATGATGTTTACATTCCAACACAAACCCCAGGGGGATATACAGAGATATAGGGAGAGATGAATATTTTATCATAGGCCGGCCAGATATATCCCGGGGGGGGGGAGAGGGGGAGGGATAGTGGTATTATGATGTATTTATTTACATGAACATTATTTCTGGAGCTTCACTTAAAGTTACAAAAAGTTTATCATATAATAAGTCCCCAATACATTATTGATTTGGAACATTTTTATCAAATTTTAGGGGAATTATATCTATTTAATATCAATCAACTTTGACTCGTACTATTAGTAATATGGCAGCTTAAACAATTAAGATGTCTCTGAGTTTTAAGGTTAGGAATAGGATCAATCTCAAACCATAAATTTTGACACACACCCCCCTCTCCCTCTCAAAAGTCAAACTTGACAAAAGCTCAGGTGTATATATATACAAATTATATATATGCAACCATATTTCATCTTTTGTTCATAATGTTTCGGGTTAGGTTATGTCAAGGTAATTTCTGGGTGGGCACCGACCCTTTAGTAAAAGTAAAATCAATCTAAAGTCTGACCGCGTCAACCTTGTTGCATCGGCTAGTCCTATTGAGTTTCTACTTTATTTACCCAATGTCCGGGCGATACCGAACAAACTGGGACCGGAAAGGTTGACCCGGCTCGGAAATTTAAATGTACTACGACTGCCCGTGTGGAGCACTGCGGCTAGGCCAAGGGACAGAGTGCTGCGGTCTTATGTCAATAATAATAATACATTATATAGATTCGAGTTTGCGTGAATTATATATGATCACCTGAGGTTGCTTACAGTTGAAAGTAGTAGGAAGTGTTTTTTTTCATAAATCAAAATGCAGATTTCAAGAAAATATAACATTACTGAGTTCCCCCTTTACAGTTTATTTAGGGATTACACACGTACCAGAGTGCTTCAGTTTTCAACAACATCCCAGGAACCAAACAACCAAATGGCTGTCAGAAACTAACCAACCAAAGGGTTGTCAGAACCTAACAATCAAAGAGTTATCAGAACCAAACAACGAAAGGGTTCTCAGAATCAAACAAGCAAAGGGTTCTCAGAACCAAACAACCAAAGATTTGTCAGAACGTAACAACCAAAGGGTTGTTGGAATCAAACAACCAAAGGGTTGTCAGAACCAAAAACAACCAAATCGTTCTCAGAAACAAACCATCCAAAGGGTTCTCAGAGACAAACCATCCAAAGGGTTGTCAGAAAACTCAAAAACCAAGCGACCATCAGACACAGAGACTATATATTTAAAGTAGTAATCTCTGTTTTTTTTGTATGTCCGATCATAACTTATGAACCCCTTGACCAATTTTCCTCCACTTTTTATAGGAGAACTCGGAAAACCGCAGGAATTTTTTAAAGATTCTAAGTTATATTGAGAAAGAATCGAAAGAAAGAATCGTAATTTACGACTAAACGCTGGTAAACGGGAGGAGTAACACTGGGTTCCCAGGCTAGTTGATTATGCCATTAAAGTTTATCTACATTCCAATTTTCATACTTTGTTTAATGATAATGTTTAAAGAATATTTTCTATTAAAACATCAAAAAACCAGCAAGAGAAAATAATGTTAGGACAAAATACCAAATAGCCTAAAATAAATAGATATTCGAGCAAAGTTTTGGTAACCAATTAAACAACAAGAAATTCTCAGGTTACCAATCTTGCTTTAAAATACCTTAATTAAATTATTTTCAACTTCATTTTAAAGTAATAAAACTATTTCAGAGTATTTCGCTTTAAAAAATTAAAAGAATTAAGTGCAACAATAAGATATTTTGAGACAAATATCAGTGTTGTCGATTCTTGAAATTATTAAAATTACTTCAAGCATTTCGAATTACATCTGAAAAGATTAGCACGTTAATCACCATATAGTTCTTTTTATAAATATTTCAGGTGAAAAATGGCTTTCCGCCTCTTTTTCTTCATTATATTGACGTCTGCACCTGCTTTTCCAGTTCACAAGGTGAAAAGGTTTTCAGCTTCTAACATCTTTTAGCTGGAGGAGGTTTTCTAATTCTAATTGAAATTTGGAGATAAAAGTTTTGATTTTCTAACATATAAAATGTAAGGATAAGTAAATAAATAAAATTTATTTTGAATCCAAACCCTTTTATGTGGGTTATTTTAAATTCCAATACAATTTTTAGTTTACATTCTTCATTAAAGGGTGGAAAAGATAAAAAATGTGATCATGCATGCTTTAGATTTTGTAATTTCAGTATCTCCTTGATGCATTGGCAAGTTTTCGAACTTTCTCCTCCTGACCTTGAGCCTGAAAGGGACTGTAAAGGAAAAATTAAATGGAGGATAGGATTCATATTTCATATTTTTCATATTTTTATTCAACTACAAAGCACGAGATAGTAAAAATAACAAATCCCAATTTACTATGTAGTTTGGACCCGCCTAACCAGAGTTGGTTGTTATGATTAATTGGCCCATTTAAAGCGAATAAGAATTGTAAATAAATAGATGAAACCTAAGTATCTTAGGAGTTGATCGCGACCCATGAGAGCTCTATCTGATTTCCTATTCTAACAAATGATTTTTTAGATAAGATAAATAGATATAATTTTGTAAAAAAAAATAGTAGCTTTAAACACATCATATTCAGCAAATCGCAACCCATCTGAAAACGACGATATTCCAAAGGAGCCTAAGTAACTTAGGTTTGCTCCTTTTATTATTTGAATTTGATAATTTTTACCTTTTCCTAGATTTAATTGATAATTATCATACATAATTATACGTGTAATTATTTATATGTCCGTATCACGTGACCAGAACTCCCACCAATGTCAGTGCAGTATACTGGTCACGTGATACAGACGGAGACATGTGACAATAATTTATTTAATCTATTGTTTTTAAGGTAAAGTTCGACCGTGAAACAAGATCCTCCTTACTCAATCCACTCTCAGACAGTTTTACTGGGTTCTATAGAGCAGACGTCAGGTTCAAATTCTAGGGGTTCTATAGAGTTATAGTTAATTGGACTTACTGAAAAACACATTACACAATTGAGGTTCTGAAATTATAAAATGAGTTTTTTTATAGCAAGTTTCAGGTTCAGAATTTAGATAAAACAGGTCTCAGGTTCAAAATTCAGAAAGAGCAGGTTTAAGGTTCAAAATTTATATAGAGCAGGTTTCAGGTTCAGAATTGATCCACTGAGTTCTGTAGAGCAGAGATTTCAGGTTCAGAATTCAAAAACTGAGTACTATAGAGCAGATTTCAGGTTCAGAACTTATATACTCAGGTTCAATAAACTCAGGTTCAATTTTATAAACTCAGTGTTATAGAATATATTAAAATGCCAGAATTTATAAACTGAGTTCTACAGAGCAGATTTTAGATTCAGATTTCATTTAGAGCAGGTTTCAGATTTAGAATAATACACTGAGTTCTACAGACCAAACTTAGGTTCAGATTTTATTTAGAGCAGGTTTCAGGTTCAGAATTCATATACTGAGTTCTATAGACCAAACTTAGGTTGAGATTTTATTTAGAGCAGGTTTCAGATTCAGAATAATATACTGAGTTCTACAGACCAAACTTAGGTTCAGATTTTATTTAGAGCAGGTTTCAGGTTCAGAATTCATATACTGAGTTCTATAGATAAGATTTTTGTTATAAATAAAAAGCAGAAATTTTCTTTCCACAGGTTTGAAACACGTTACAAACCAGAAGAGAGAAACACCCTGAAACCTATCTGCAACCACAAACCTTCAATAAAAAGCAGAAACAGGAACAAAATTCTTTCATTCGTATATAAACGATATAGTCATTATAAAAGAAATAAAGAGTGAAGAATTATAAATTATAAACTCTAAAAAATAATCAGATATCTTTGATTAAAGAAAGAACGTGAGTTTGATGAAAATGTGAAAGGAATTGAGTTTTTGACACAAAGTCTGATTTTCCAATTTCTATATCTTTGTAACCCAATGTCGTAGACCTTAGATATTTCAAACTATTAATACTTATAGATAAAATAATCTTAGATTGAAATATCAAAGATTTGCATCAAAAGATTGCAAAGATATTGGAATCAGAAGATTTTAGTTTGTGGCAAAAACTCAATTCCTTTAAAGAATTTAATTTATTTGAATGAATCGATGTGACGTGATCAGTATAACAAACAACATTGACCTTCTCAGGTATTAAATTGTTTAAAACCTTCACATCATTTATAAAACTCAAATAAGATTGAGAATCAAATTATTTTAATGAATTGTAATAACTCGTTTATAAATTATTTAATTTTATTAATACAAAACTTTACGTTAGTGCTAAACTTCCTTGTTGTAGTACTAATCTGCATTTTAGGATCAAACTGTGTTTTAGTACCAAACTACGTGTTTAAGTACCAAACTACTTTATTATAGTACAAAATTACTTCGTTTCAAAACCAAACTTCTTTATTTCAGTACCTGCAAATTAGTTTGTTTTAGTAACAAATTCCTTTGTTTTAGTACCTAACTACTTTACTTTAGTACCAAACTACTTTATTTCAGTTCCTAAATACTTTATTTCACTACCAAACTACTTTATTTCACTACAATACTACTTTATTTCACTACCAAACTAGTTTATTTTAGTTCCAAAATACTTCATTTCACTACCATACTACTTTATTTCACTACCAATCTACTTTATTTCAGTTCCAAACTACTTTATTTCAATACCAAACTCCTTTATTTCAGTACCAAACTCCTTTCTTTCAATACCAAATTACTTTATTTCAGTACCAAACTACTTTATTAATATTTCACTACCAAACTCCTTTATTTCACTACCAAACTACTTTATTTTAGTACCAAACTACTTTATTTCACTACCAAGCTTCTTTATTTTACTGCCAAACTACTTTATTTCACTACCAAACTGCTTTATTTCACTACCAAACTACTTTATTTCAGTACCAAACTACTTTATTTCACTACCAAATTACTTTAATTCACTACCAAACTACTTTATTTTAGTACCAGACTACTTTATTTCAGTACCAAACTACTTTGTTTTAGTACCAAACTACTTTATTTCAGTGCCAAACTACTTTATTTCAGTACCAGACTACTTTATTTCAGTGCCAAACTACTTTATTTCAGTGCCAAACTACTTTATTTCAGTACCAAACTACTTTATTAATATTTCACTACCAAACTCCTTTATTTCACTACCAAACTACTTTATTTCAGTACCAAACTACTTTATTTCACTACCAAGCTACTTTATTTCACTGCCAAACTACTTTATTTCACTACCAAACTGCTTTATTTCACTACCAAACTACTTTATTTCAGTACCAAACTACTTTATTTCAGTACCAAACTCATGTATGAGATCCAGAGAAGAGGAGATGGGATAGATTGGATAAACGAGGGAAGATAAACATTTTCATTTTCTAAAGGAATTCCACATAATTTTGTTCTAAACCAAATGTTTCAGTTTGAAATATCAAAAGTTGCACACATGTAGCCACTAGAAAACTATATATAATTTTGTCACAAATCAAATATTTCAGTTTGAAATATCAAAAGTTGCACTCATGTAGCCATTAGAAAACTAGTGTTTTGGCCAGATAATCAGTTCCTGTCTATCAGATAATCAGTTCCTGTCTATCAGATAATCAGTTCCTGTCTATCTATTTCAAAGAACAAAATTATTTCTAGAATTAATGTATTATCCTTAATATCGTTTTATAGGGCCTCTACAGAATTGGAAAGAGGAGGATGAACCGGAAGTAAATGATGAAATGAAATCAGCAAAGTGGAACTTATTGGCGCAAATATGAGATTTGTGGGGAAAAGAGTTTTGACATTTTAATGCTTTAAAAAATAACAAATTACAAATTTACAAATATCACTGCGGCAAAAATCTTCTCTGATAATTAAAAAAATAAACCGTGCGAAATTTAAAATTAAACAATATCATAAAACATTTATAATAATACGATCCATATACGTTAAACAATAAACATATACTAGAGGGGGCAGTGGGGGTGCTCAGTCATTGCTCAGTCCAATAGCTGTAAGTGGGAAGGGGGGCTGAGCCACCATACCCCCCGCCCTGAATACGCCTCTGTTTGCATGAACAAGAAGTCCACTAATCCTTATAGATCTTTAAATACGAACAATCCGATGGTTATATTAAAGCTTCTGTATGTAAGTACATATTAAAAGTATTGCAAAAAAAAGTAAATGTGCGGGAGCAAACCACAATCTTAAGAAATTAGACTAAAATGTCGTAATCATTTAAGTTTAACACTGGAGTTAACTATCGTTTTCTAACGTATATTTGTCATGTAATTATTGTAATAATGTATAAATGTATTATTTTCATGAAATAAATGGCAGCAGATAATAGCATGATTAATTGTAAAAATGTCAATTTAACTAGCTTTCTTAACATGTAACAGCATACAAGAATCAATATTTTTTTAACACAAAATAAATTCTTATTGAAAAAAGAAAAGGACTTCAACTTAAGTTATAAACTGATAGTTTTGATGAAATAACGACCGTTTTTGTTAATGAATTATATATTGTATAACCCAGAATAAAATTGGGTCTATATATGTTAATCCCATTGTTTTTTGGGATAATCTTTTACATTCGTGGGCCTGTGCAGTCTTATGTATTTTCTGGCAGTACACGACTTTATCCATAATAGTCCATAATCCATAAAAGTCTTTCTGATCGAAGTCCCTCTGTGATTGTTTTCCTCTTATAGTCTTCAAATGTCCTGATAGTCCAATATAATCCTTATTTCTTATTGTTATTCATCTTAGATTGTCAGGTTTTGTAACCTTAAATGGTATGTATTGTAATACTCATGAGAATTAATACAGTTTTTTTTGAGGATAAATTAAAACTGACTTTCTTTAAGTCAAAAACGAGAAAATAGTTATAAAGTATATTTGGAAATGATTCGCGAAACGCCAAAGAAAATTTTTGGGAGTTTTTCTTAATTGACAAAATTTGATAAAAGACGATTCCCAATCATGATCTTACTGGAGCCAAGTGATGGGGGGGGGGCGAGGGAGGTCAAATCTCGGTTCGCCCCCCCCCCCCTAGTTGCGCTGCACTGTAGATTACACTGGAGACAGATTATTTAAAGCTTAATAAAACTCTGCGTCAATCATCTTGCTCTGAGAGACTGAAATGGATTTTAAATGAAACCCCGCGAAAAAAATATTGTAAATAAGGTTAAGGTACAATTGAAAGAATTTGAGAATAATCATAAAATGGACAATTTGTGACATTGTCGATTGATAAGAAAAGTATAAAATCTGAATATTATGCAAGTTAGAGCCTGCCTCTGGCTCCTGGGGGGGCAATTAGGGGGGTGAGTCATTGCATGTCTAGGGGGACCACCCNTTGACGAGTTTTGATGATTGTTAATAAACTGTAATCTGGGCACATTTCCCGATAATCTCTGTCATTTTTGCAGGTAAAAAAATGGTAGACAACATCGATCATGGAAACCCCGACACTAGTACTTTTTAGGTTTTAAATATTTTGATTGTGATACTAAAAAATTATGTTTACGAAATAATCTCACATGAAACAAAGTCGACATATAAGTCGTCGTCTAATTCCCATGTCATATTAGGACACCCTGTACATTAAAAATTTGATTACCAAAGTACTAATGCAAGGAAAGTTATTTAACAGAGTTGTACGCATTTTTTGTAATGCCCAGTGTACTGTCTGGGCGGAAAAGTAAACAAGACGGATGTCACAGCCTGACATGGAACGAATTTTCACAAAAATAATCTTTGAAATATTCTGGTCATAGGAAACTATTATGTGAATTTTCGAATTTTTCAAAATTATGCAATTTCATCCTCCTCGTATACTAGACGAACACTGCAGAGACTGCAGACGATCTATTCTTGTTTATATTCCGCCCAGAGAGGTGCAGTGCAGCTGTTCTAGAACATTCGTCGTACTTAATGGAGGACGATAGTGTGGCCGCCAGATGATCTTATATGTGATAGATAGATAATTCATACGATACGAGTACGACCAAAATTAGTACGTCATGTCGACCAATACATATGATGGATGGTGTATTTCTGGACCTACGCCCATCCGTCCTACATGCCCATCCGACCTACTAGCACTTGGTTTTAGAGCTGCTAGATGGACTTATGGTCGCATTGCCCGGCCCCCTAGCCTGTCCTATTCGTGGCGCTCGGCCCTAGCCCGTCCTGACGCAGCGCTCGGTCCAGAAATTCTCTTCTTAACCTAACCCTCAAATAATACAAAATTAAACAGCTGCCGTAGGTCAGATGTTGCAGTAGGTCGGTTGTGCAGTATAGCGAAGGCATGCTATAGCGAATGGGCAATAAGACGAATAGGACGGACGGGCAGTAGAGCGGATTAATTTTACCGATAAGGGATGGCTTAAGACTTAATGAAGACGATCTATCAAATCGATAAGGCAACTGTGCGCGTGGTTCAATAATTGCCGCAACTCCTCATAAACCCAACATTTCGCGGGGTCAAAGTTTTTAATTATGTCCTTAACATTTGCCGAAGTAAACTATATTAGAAGTTGGCAGGATAAGTTACCTCAATTGATTAAATAGCACAAATTTTGGACCGCTCTAATATAATTCTGGTGATATTATATCAATTGTTACACGCTGCATGTTTCAGAATGGAGACGAAATGGTTAAACCGAGAAAAGAAAACAAAACTGAGCTAATAAACCCTAAACCAAAGATTATTGAAAATTCTCAAAGGTAAATTCTGATCCTTTTTTTGCATGAATTGTTGTCCCCAATTCCTATGTAGTCAATATTTTAGACGTTCATTTTATTGGGAAGTTGATTAGGTCTTGTCTGATACCAGAGTCCGACACTACTAATTTTGCGGATTTCATAATCCTCTTTCGGGGATTTCATCCTCTACAGAAGTCCCCCCTAACTCGAAAATAAAGAGAGAGTCGAGACTGATAATTATCTCCTTGTAAGTGTTGACGGAAAAGGAGTAGTAGGAGTTCTAGTGATAATTGATAATTATCCCTTGAACTTCTGTTTTGCCCTATCCCCACGTCATGATCAACCTTGTGTAAGGCTTGTCAAGCGGCTAGGACAGGCCCGGGGATTTAGCGCCGCGGCTATGACAGGCTAGGGGGCCGGGCACTGCGGCCACATGACCAACTTTATCCATGCGGGTCTTTTTTAAAACTACCTAAAAATCGATGTACAAAATTGATAGGAGGGGGGGGGGGGGAAAAACAAATCGTTATCTAGAAAATTACCTTCAGCCGTTTCTATCGGTTAAAAAGACTCGAAAATGTGCTTTGACATATAGATATAAATTTTGGAAGGGGTTGTCTATGCAAATTTTTGTCGTCCGATCCTTTCATTTGGCGCAAAACTAAGTAGAATATTTGGAAATCTCTCCCGTTAACTCACGGAGGGTTTCGAATATTTGACATAATTTTACGTCAAACGGAAGCATCAACCACAAAATGTTACATAAACGAACCCTTCTAAAACTTAATACTATTTTCAGTCAACTTAAAAGATTATCGGGGCTTAAAAACACTAATACCTGTGTTTTGGCCACCATATTTCTTGACCATTTCAATCTTTTTGATTAATTTAATAAAATTAGAGAAACTATAGCAACCTAATTATAGTGGACCGGAGGCACAGAAATCCTCCGAGCCTTTCAGGAGGACTGAAAACCTAAAAGGTTTGAATTATTGTTCTATTCCTTATCACTATATAATTGCAATAGTCCTTATCATTGGATAATTGCAATAGTCCTTATCATTGGAGAAGTGCAATATTCTTCGTTATTGTATATAATTGCAATATTCCTTGTTATATAAATTATTATATAAAAGTCATTACAGTTTTGTACTATTTTTGTATTAGTTTTTGTAAATTTTTACTTCTCAATCTTTCATAATTTTAATTTGCAGAGCTCTGGAAAGAAAGAGCAGAATGTTCTAATGACTTAACTCTTGAAATTAAACATCGTCCCGTTCGTGTAAATATCCGGAGATACACTTTCCCGCTGGCCGCTTATCCGTCAAGTGTTGCCGAGGACATTACAAGTGTGTCACGTGACTGTAATAAGCACGATAGAACCAGTGATAGAGACACTAATTCTCAAAAAGTTTCTATAAATAGAATTAAAGATAAAAATAACATTGATTCCGATAATATCCCACAAAGCCCAGAGTGCAGACAAGTTCTAAGCAGAAAGATTGGTGATTTTTCAGAAAATGAGTCCAGTCCTTTGAAAATCAAAGGTAAAAATAAATGAAAAACATACAAATTAAGAATAAACATTTAAGATGTCTTTGAGCTTTCAAGCCATTATATTAATTCAGCTTCTTGCACTACACATTTAAAAAGTACTTAATATTTAATATCTAATTGCTTACAATTATGATTCTGATTGTTTTAAGTTTCCTTTATCGAATTAAAGTGTATATTTTTATTTTCAACTATTTCTTATGCTTGCTCTATGAAACAAACATTTTTAATACAATTTAATCTTCAGAAAACCTGGTTGAAATGAGTTCGTATATCAAGCCTAATGAAGGACCAGTTTTATGCAAATTCATCGATGATAGTGGAGAAGATATTACACAGCAAGTGTCGCAGGTACGCTTATTCTTTAACTGACAGATATTATATTTTTATTATTCAGTGCTTACGACTATTAGGACTAATCTGATGCGGTTCTGGAGCCGTCTTGTGAACAAAAATGGATACATATTTCTCTAGTTCTTCTTGGTTTTTGTGACTAACGCTAAAGAAACAAAAAAAATCGTTTTCCGAAATTTGTATGCTTATGGATTTTTAGGGATACGCAAAATTATCTTCCTTTGGTAATTTTTTTTCAATGTTTAGTTGCGAACATTAATTCTTTGAACGACGAATACTTCATATTATTTTTCATTTTTAACCTCAATAATAACATTTTTGCTTTAGGAGTCTTCAAGTAGAACCAGGAGTTTAGAGAACAGGAAGTCAGTTTCCAAACTATCAACGGAGACTACAGCCGACCCGGTGAAAGAAGACGACCAAGCGTCAGACTTTGGAGATTTTGAGGAGGATGACCCTCGACCTAAGAAAAGGTGGATTTTAAATGAAAATATTTTTCTCCATGGGTACCATTCACTGGGGAATCGTTATTGCAAATAGTAAACTATATTTGACTACATCAGTGTACATTATACAGTAGTGAACACTGAACACCCTTCCTTCACATCACAAATTCTTAATCGATAATTTTGCCTAATCACATTGTTAATGAAATTAAATGCCATGTAAGCTAATGACTAAGTAATTCAAGTACTACAGTAGGATATGTTAATACACAACGGTTTAGTGATGCTTATTTTGTTCTAGGGATGATTATTTATTTCTGTTAGACTATTTGACAAAATATAAACATAACGCAAAATTTTATTGCAGAATTTAACTTTTTGACAAAATAAAGTGTTTTGGAGATAAGTTTAAAATAGACTGAAAATATTTATGATTACAGGTTGTCAAGGAGGAGTAAAGGAACCGGATTGGAACGCAGTAAAGTTGAGGATGTGAACTCTAGTATAGAAACTAGTATTCTAACCAGCAATCCTAATCTTGGAATCCAAGAAGCTGAAATATCGAAGGTGATGTATTTCTATAAGCCTTGAGATGGAAACTTGACAATGGACAGGGATTGAATTTAATGAATTGAAGAGGTAGTTGAACTACATACCGCCGTTTCAAATCTTGGATCACCGATTTATGTGGATTTGAATTGGTGATTCAGGATTTGAACCGGTGGTAAGTAGTTCAGCGACCTCTCAAATTCATTAGTCCACCTCCCTACCACCGGTGGAGTGTAACTCAAATCCCGCATGTCTGGTTAGTCAACGTTCAGACTACGGACCAATGAGAGATCAGATCTTAAAATTAAAAAGTGACAATTATAATTAATATTTACAATTCTCTTAGGGAAATAAACAACAGCTCACGGTTATATACAAACTCGTAGGTATTTTAAACAAGTTTTAACAATTTTCTAAACAGGAGGAGACGCTGAGGAACAAACTGTTGGATGAGTTCAAGTTAATGAACCAGGATGAGTCGGAATCAGATTTTAGTTCTACCGAGCAGGAAAGATACAAATATACTATTTCTTTCTGATCATTAATGAGATTTATTCATCTTTTAATCTGAAGTTTTTTTTATAATCGAGTAAAGTTGATTTTAAGTAGATGAGAATTTATAGTAGAATGAGGAAGTTCTTTAGATAAAAGGGGGGGGGGCTTAGATGTCAAAGCAATCTTTGAAAAGAAAGTTTTTGCTTAATTAATGATTATAATTTATCTGGTTTAGACGGAAGAAATGGATACTGATACAGATTTTACAACAGAACAAGATACATACAAACCTACTCCTCCAAAAACCAACCCTTCTTCTCCGACATCCAAACTTACTTCTACGACATCAAAACCTACTCCTCTGACATCAAAACCTACTCCTCTGACATCAAAACCTACTCCTCTGACATCAAAACCTACTCCTCTGACAACGAAACCTGCTGCTCCGATAACCAAACCTACTCCTCCGACAAGCAAATCTACTCCTCCGACAACCAACGCTTCTCCTCCGCCAGCCAACCCTTCTCCTCCGACAGCCAACCCTTCTCCTCCGACAGCCAAACTTACTCACACGACATTAAAACCTACTTCTCTGACATCCAAACCTACTCCTCCAATATCCAAACCTACTCCTCCAACATCCAAACATACTCCTCCAACATCCAAACTTACTCCTTCAACATTCAAACCTACCCCTCCGACAACCAAACCTCCTCCAACATCCAAACCTACTCCTGCAACATCCAAACCTACTCCTCTAGCATCCAAACCTACTTCTACACCATCCAAACCAACTTCTGAACCTCCTTTTACAGAACAGACTACTCATGTTGTCTGTTCACCACAATCTACTTCCAAATCAGCTTCCTCCTCTATCACTTATTCCAACTCAGTTTCCTCCCCATTTATTACTTCCTCCAAACTTGAGACTTCTCCCAAACTTCCAACATCAGTCCAACAACCCTCCCGCGCCCCTGCTGTAAAATCCGCTAGCAAGCAGAACACTCCGAGAATTGTGACGGTTACAAAGTCTGGTTCTACCCCTCTCGTTAAACCAACACAAACCAGAATTATAAAGGTTACGAAGGAAAGTCTTAAGCATGGTCCTCCACCCAGCAAGATGAACCCAGGCAAAACCAAGATTGTTGTGACCAAATCAATTGGAATTCAAGAGAAATCAAGAGAGCGAAGTAAGACGATGCCACCGAAACTAGCTGCTCCAGTGAAGCTGTCAGTTGATTTTTCTCCTCTGATCCTTGAATCCACCTCGACAGCTGATCTATCTTTGCATGAAGCATCAACTGATAAACTGGAGGTTAAACAACCAGAATTAAAAGTTCGAAGGTGAGGATAGTTTCTTAAACTACGTCCAGATCGGAATATTTTTCGATGTATGCTCGATTGATTTTTACTTTTGGAACTCGGTATTACTTTGTATATTTAGATATTTTGTCCAAAACAGGCGAGTTTTTATTTTAAGTTTTTAATTTAAAATATATTTTAAATCTTAATTATTTTAATGACTTTAACAAGTTTTTTTTTAAGTGGAGAAAAAACTGCAGAGATTATGGAATCTAAAAACGAAGGTAGAGCAATTTCTTTCTTTAATAACTCATTATTCATCTGAAAGCCCAAGCTTCAAAATATCGAGATTTTTATTTTTTACTCTTCTGTTATAATCCAAGTTGTTAAATCTTAGATCGGATAATATCGGACCATGACTATGGGTTCCGGAGCCCGGACGAAAGCACCATGACAGAAGAAACAAAAAAGACGAGTAGACCCAGAGGTCGTCCACCTGGCCGGAAGTCTGACCAGCCGACTAAACCTTTGTCAAAGCCTGGCGCTCGTTTGGCCTCCTTGTTTGATGATATTACCCCATCTACCAAACCTAAAGTTGGGAAAGCAGGTGAACTAGCCCTTTGTACATTTTAATAAAATAGGTTTTGGATTCTTGCAAATTCTTTGCTTAGCAATTTTTTGTGTGTTAAGTTTGATACTATATCAAGGTGGACATTTTCAAACTCTTCTGTTTCCATAGAATTAGATTCGTAATATAATAACAATAAAAACCTGAAATTTTAATTTAATATTTTACGTGACGGTGAAAAAGTTTATTTTCTGAAAAATAAAAACCAATGTTACTAATATAAAATAAAATAAATATAAAATAATTAAAACTATTTTCTTTTTTTCAGTCTCTGGTACTGAAAACCACGGAGCGTTTTCTGCGGACGACGAGTCATCAGGTTTCATTAAATTTGTTGACGATACATTTTTTAAATCTTGCAATAATGTTTGTAAAAGTTGTAGAACTAGTAACGGACAACTGGCCAGCAATTTGCATTATATCATATCTGTTCGGTTCCATAGCAGTAAACCTATCGTGTAAGAATTCCTATTATTACACGGTTCAGGAGGAACAATTTTAATATTGTTCGCTTTCTAGCGTTTAAGAATGCTTATTCTTACACAGCAAGTGTAGAATTTTCATTCTTTAACGCTCAGACCGTGTAAGAATGGAAATTATTACACGGTCAGAGCGTGAAAGAATGTATATTCTTACACGCTCCGAGCATTAAAGAATGGAAATTATTACATTAGTTGCAGAATATGATAATCTTATGAGGAAAAAAATGTAATAATGGAAATTCTTAAACGAGATGAAATAATCTTGATGCATTCTTTAACGAGGCCTGAGTTAAAGAATGCATCAAGATTATTTCATCGAGTTTAAGAATTCCATTATTACATTTTTATCCTCATAAGATTATTATTATATCATATTTGTGAGGTTCCATGGGCACATAGGGCACATACCCAAGAAATCTATATATAAATTTGGCTTGTCTGTTTGTCTGTTTGTCTGTTTGTCTGTCTGTTTGTATCCAATAAACGTCAAAACGGCTGAACCGATCGGGCCCAAATTTTTTGTGGGACATCTAGGGACTCCAGGGAAGGTTTATGAATCATCAAAATTTCAAATATTTGTCTCCATCAAAATTCGATCGTCATTAAATTTTTTAAAATTTTGAAAATCCGCGAAATTTTTTGTGAAAATCCGCGAATTATTTTTGTTTTGTTTTACGATGTACACAAAGAGAACATGTTCACAATTAATTTAGAAGATGGGCGCGAAGCGCCCTCTCAGGCTAGTTATATTAAAAAATAATTCTGGTGAAATCCGACTATTTTAAGTTGGAACAGTTCACATTATGAAAGGTTGCAAATAAGTTTTATGCTCTTGTTCTGACTAACGCTTTTTTATTTTTCTAATGTTAAAATATAAAAAAAAAACATTTTAAAAGTAAAAATGGTTCTTAATTTGAAAGTAATGCATGTGGTGTGATTAGGTTTGAGATTCAAATTGATATTTTTGAATTAAGGTATATCAATACTTCAAAAAACAAAAAAGGTAAGTGAGCATGTTATTTTAAAGTATAAAAAGGTAAGTTTGCATGTATTAATATAAAAGAAAAAGGTGAGTTTGCCCTGTGCATGTTGTCAGTACAAAATAATTAAGTTAATATCAATATTGATCTATACTTAAAAGATCAATATAAGGAGCGTGTAAGAATGAATACTCTTTAACTAGTGTAAGAATTTCCATTCTTTAATGCTCGGAGCGTTAAAGAATAAAAATTCTACACCTTCAGTGTAAGAATAAGCATTCTTAAACGCAAGGAAGCGAACAATATTAAAAGTGTTCCTCCTGAACCGTGTAATAATGGGAATTCTTACACGATAGGTTTACTACTATGGAACCGAACAGATAAGATATAATATTCATTCTTTCCTCATAAGATTATCATAGTATCTCATTTTTGTATTTAGAGAATGAAACTAAAGCAGCTCCGTCCTCCTCATCGACTGTTTGGAGCAGCTTCAATATAATATTTGATGCTCCTGCTGCTAAACCTGCTGCTGTATCTGTACCCAGCAGCCAGGAGGAGGAACCAAGGAGCCGAGATGAGGAGCAGAAGAAGAACAGAGACGGAACTTTACTCAAGAAGAAGAAAATTCTTCGTAAAGTTGCTTCTTCTAAGGTAAATGAAAAAAATACAATAACTAAATATGTTCCTGGTCAAGGTTTGAGGGGAGATTTTAACGAACTTCACATCACGAGATAAATCTAAAAATCCCATCTTAATCTCGAAATGTCTTAACTCAACTCTTGACCAGGTACAGTTTTATCTACCATGTGGCAACCGCAATTTCATTAAAATATTAAAATTAATTATTATTAATTATCCCTTCTTATACAAATGGTAACATTAATGCTCACAGTCAAACGAGGACATAAAAGTGGCCACTGGTCAGCCGGGATAACAAAGTGGTTCCGAATTTAAATACCCTCTTTATGTCCTTAGCTCAAAATCAGACAGGACAATTTACTAGGTTTTGACATAATTTAAAATGATTGAATCAGAATTAGGAGGAAAAAATGTGATTACAATGAATTCGACCGTCAACATTTTATTTAAATATTTGTTAGTCTCGTGTTGGGTTGGTTGAAACTGGTACAGATACTGACGAGCCTGGAGAACCCCCTACCCGGAGACCAGTGAGGAGAAGAACTGATTCTAAACCAGATATTCCCGCCAGAATCTTGATAGAGAAGATCCCCGAGACCAGTGACCAGCAGCGTACAAGTCGACTGAGTCGGAGCAGCTTACCTTCCGGAGCTACTGGTGGGTTGAAGTTGTCTCCAAACTCAAAGAGTGCTGAAGAGCTGATGGACCAGGATAATGAAAAAGTAACAACATCAATATCTGAGGATAAAGTAAAAGAAAAGAATGCTGAAACCAAACTTGAAATAAATCAACAAACAAGAAAATCTGGAAGATATTCCGAGGTTGAGAGGTTGGACATATTTAATTATAGTTTTTTGTTTTATGAAAGGAGGATGAATCTAACACCTAAACCTTGAAATAAAGCCAGGTTATTTAATTTCAAGGGGAATAATTTTGATGTTCAAGGGAGAAAAGGATTTGACATACAAGTGGCAAGTTTTTCATCCTTTTATACTTTTTACCCTAATTTTTTAAATTTACCAAGAAAATCATATATATATTTTCTCTAATCCAGCAAATAAAACCTTAAAAACTTTTCGTTCCGCGCAAACGTGTCTTAACATCTGATTTTCAAAAAGGGAGTATTGATTTTTCAAGAAAATATACACCCCTGAATGTGGCAGTTTCCTTCACTAGTATTATCATGTTTAGTGGTGAATCTGTCCCTGTCAAATCCTCTCCTACCAAGCCCCATAGGAATATACCAGAGAAAACTGAAGATACCAAAATATTCCGTCGAAGCCTCAGAGATTCGTCTCGAGAGATGAAAGACGCGAAGAACGATTCTTCGAGCTTGGATTCATCTCTAGACTTCGATAATGAGGTAGCGACCTCAAATAAAAGGGTCACATACTTTAAAAGATTTATCTCTAAGGAAGACATCTTTGTTTTTGTTAAAAAATATTAATTTTCTAGTTTCATGCATAAAATCGCTAGTTTTTTTAAATCGGACAAATGTGTGGAGGTTTCCAATATGAATCGGACACATAACTATAAATGGAGGGTCTCCTGAAAATACGTTGACAGTCCATTTAAAAATGTCGAACTTTGATCTCCATCGACTGTCATCTAATAGGGCACCTGAATTTTTGCGTTTTGATCGCCTGAAATCTTAAATATCTTTAATTTTGGGGGAAATTTTTCTCTTTTTTTCAACTTTTAACATCATCTCCCCCAGACTGTTCTCCCTGTATGTTTTGAATTCTTGTTTAGAAAATTCGTTTACTAGTTCCTTCCTCAGATACGGAATCAGGAAAACTAGACACTTCACAGGTTAGATCAAATATTAGTAAATGTTAAAAACTAAAGTTGCCAAAAATATCCCAAGAAAGAAAGGAATGTTTTAATGTTTTACACCCCCCCCCCCTCTTCTATATTCTTCTATTTTGTAAAAATATATAGAAATAGAACAAAAAAGGTTGAAAATTTATATTCTGGCTCCAATACAGATTTTCTATTTTCTATTTGACTTCTTTTATTCATTATTCATTATTCATTATATTCATTAGCATTAAAAAAATTAATAAAGTTTTCTGCACTCAACTTTTATGGAAAGAAGTTACTTCAATAATTTCTTTCCTTATTTCCAGGAGTTCGTTTATCCTGCTCCTTCTACTCCTCTCCATCAGCTAGGAGACTTGGTCTGGGTTAAATTTAGTTCTTATCCATGGTGGCCTTCTATGGTAGGTTTTTATTTTGTTTTTCTTCAACTTCATCTATGTCAAGAACTGTTTGTCTATATGATCATTGAGACTTCCTGCTCCCACAATGTCAAGATATCTTACTTACTTTATTTCCTTCATATTCTTCCTTCTTATTAAACTTAAAATTTCTTACATATTACCAATCTACGCTAATTAACTTACTTTCACATCTCATCTCGTATTAGCTCGTATTAACTGCAATTTCCATAAACTCAATTACACCTTCCTTTCTACTACTACTACTTGTCCAATGTCCATGTATCTATATAACGTCCCCTCTCACTGATTTTTATTAATTTCTGTACAGTGTACCGTGTACCTTGCTCACATCTACTCTCTATAATACCTAGATAACGAATGATCCGGTTGAAAAGCTTTCCCAAAAGCTAAAGCAGAAGGGTGGACGTCAGTTCTGGGAATACCATGTTTCTTTCTTCGGAGAACCGAACAGAGCTTGGATTGTAAGTATAATAATTAGGTTTTTATCTTTTCAGCTTTTGGTTTAGAAGGTGTTTTACTTTGTAGTGTAAAGTAGTTAGGTTGTTTGATTAATTGATTGATTATTAAGTCTGAGAAGAGCATGATATGGTTTAAGGGAAGAGCTAATCTAGAGCAGAGGAAAGAGCAGGAAATATCAAAAGGTGTTCAACTTAAGGTATGGTGGCTACTGGCTAGCCTTTTTCATTTTATTATTTAAGTATTATTCTTCAACTATTGCCTTTTCCCCCATTTCCCCTTTTTTCCTCTTTTCCCGTGAAATATGTCTTCCTTTGTATTGAATTCAATGTTTTTACCAATATTTTATAATTGTAAAATCAGCCAAATATTATTAACCCTAGGTTGTCAATTCACTGTATAGTCCTAAACTTAGCATCAAGGAGAAATGGGAATCCTCAGTCCAAGGTATTTTTTATATAAAATGTTTTATCATAAATTTTTTTATGTCACTTACCCCATTAAGAAAGCCTATTTTGGATTTTGAATTACGATTAAAAATTCCTTTATATTAATAAAAAGTATAAGAATTTTAATTATTCACAGCTTATTTTTAGTGACAATAAAGCGAGTTGCAATGAAAAAAGACTTGGCTTTATGTTTCTCTTGTACTCATGATTATGTACAATGTACATAAATTGTTCATGTACCAGGTGCTGAAGAATTGTACAAGCTGGGTAGAGCTGTTAGGATTGAAGCTATGCCCAAATACAATACAGAGCAAGTTTTGAAAAGGAAAAGGTAAATATTTCATTTGCTGTATTTCTAGTGTCTTTACATTGTTATCTAATAAGGAAAAAATATCATTCAGAGCGCTAGCGTAGAAATCCTACTAACAAATATAAGTGAAATTACTGATCAGCTGATTGTCATTTACCGTCATTTCTAGAATAAAGTCGATGCCTACAATTATGGTGGCTTGGGTGGAAAGAGACACTTTTTCCTATAATTGAATCCTAAAATTTCTCTAGCGATCACCATGAAAAAAAAAACCCGAATGATATATATAATTTTGGAGAACCAGGGGAATGTTCTTAACGTGGTTTCACTTTAGTAGGAAAATATTGCTAAAATCGTAATTTAAGACCAAAACCTGGTAAACGCGGGAGTAATTATGAGTAATTATGAGTAACCTGGGCAACACTGGGTTCCCAAGCAAGTACACAATATTAGTAGTTAATATTTTTCTGTTTGTTTAGATGTCCGATCATAATTTATTGATCTATTTGCCTAAAATTTTGATTGGATACACTGGAATATTCTTAGCTTCGTCAACAAATTTAGTCTGTGACTTTTATAGGGAAATCTTGATTTCCAAGCAAGGCTGGGTTCCCAAGATAATTCTGTAAACTGAGGGTTGGAGAAAAATTGAAATTAAAAATTTAGTCGGTGACTTTTATAGGGAAATCTTGATTTCCAAGCAAGGCTGGGTTCCCAAGCTAATTCTGTAAACTGAGGGTTGGAGAAAAATTTAAAAATTAAAAATTTTGAAAACTGAAATATTTAAAAATAAAAAAATTAATTTGTTCAGGGAAGAAACCCCTCAGGAGTCACCAAGCCGACTGCCTGCATCCAAACGCTCGAAAATTCAGGAATTTTTACCAGTTTCATTGAAAAATCCCATAGAGTAATAAAACGAAGAGGTGAAGCTTAGCTCAGATGTACACAACCGACCGCCCTATTAATTTATTAATAGAGCGGTCTATTGTATACATCACGATATGTTTACGTATCTAATACTGTACACTTGTATATAGAGTGATCGTATTTCTAAGGGGTGGTTTTATGTAGAAATTTGAATATTAGTATTGATAATTAGATAGACACTTAATATGGATTTAAATAAAGAAAGAAAATCTAAAAATTGATCAATTCCATAAAATCCCCCTTAGAAATACGATCACTTTATAAACAAGTGTACAGTGTTAGATACGTAAACATATCGTGATGTATACAACCGACCGCTCTATTAATTAATTAATAGGGAGGTTGGTTGTGTACATCTGAGCTAAGCTTCACCTCTTCGTTTTATTACTCTATGAGAAATCCCCTCAAATTTAAATACAAAACGTAGCCCTACCCATCTTTTGAATTTTATTAGTAAGAAAAGTTTCCAAAGATTTTATATTCAAAATATTTTTTTTACAAAACTTACTGGTAACTTTAGTCGAGAATTGAGCGGATTGTTGAAAAAATCCCTAAATCAAGTTTGGTTGAACAGGGCAAAAGCCTTACTGGTAAGCATTTTTTAATCAAAGGGATTGTTTTGGTTTGTTAACATGATATGATGGAGGAAACTCTTCTTGTTTTTAAACCCTGATGTCCGTAAACCAAAAGGCTCAAGACAGAATCTTTCCAATTGATAATTCACAACCTGCCTTTGATAGTGTTCTTGGTTAACCAAAAACGACGCTAAATTATAATGACGACTATTTAAACTTGGAAGTAAAGGTTTTTAAAAAAGACGAAACATTTAGCAAGTTTTTTTGTGGCACGAACGAACTGTATGCAGGTTGAATTTAATAGTTATAGTTATAGTATTTATTTTCAAACACAAAATACAAAATAATATTGCATGATGGTTCAGCTTAAAATATAACACAAAAGAAAATTTATTATTGCATGCTTTCTCTCAGAGAGAGGAGGTGTTGACACCTCAACTGCTTTCTACTAACTATATTCTGTCTGGAAAGGTGTCTTCTAACGGTAGGATGATTAGACAAAGCAAGTATCAAGTTGATAATATCAGGGAACCATTAATGGTAGAAAATGAACTCAATACATTTTGTTCATCCGTCTCATTGTTTTAACACTGTTTATCAAAATGTATTAAACAGAAGGAAATAAAGAAGAAGCAATTACTTTATTATTTTTCAGCGTTTAAACTGTATATTCTTGGATTGAAGGCATCGCAGGATAAACTTGGGGATGATACTGCTAAAGCAAAGTAAGTGAATTCAATTTTTTTTGCTTTCTTCATGAAAACAACCTTAACTTGAGAGAATCATTTGTTCCATTTACGTTCAAGTTTATAATTTTCTGGTATTAATTAATGTAATGTCTGATTTGATTTTACTTATCTTCTTCGGTGAAGAAGAAATAATAATGCTCGTCCAAACTAGATTTTTTTTAAAGTTAAGGATTTTTAAAGATTAGGAATGCTGTGTCTTTTTAATTTAGGATAATTAAGTGTTTATTGTTAAGATGTTTAAAGAAAATTAATTGAGATTTAGATATATAATTAAATACTTGTTCAGCATCTCATCCACACTCTGAGAAAGTAAAATCATTGTTTTTTTCTGTTTACTCGTCAATTATATTTTTTTTCCTCATGATATTGTTTTTTAACGAGTTTGATGTTCACAGCCTAATACAAAATAGCAAATAAACAAGAACATTACCCTAATTTCCACGAAATGAAGGTTAATCATTATATTTATTAATTTATAAACCTCTATACAGTGTATACTGTATACTGTAAACTCTATATTTAGACAGGTTTGGGATAATCTGACAGGTCTGGAGAGGAACCCATATATTGAAACTATAAACCTGTATCCTCTATATTTAGACAGGTTTGGAATATTCTGACAGGTCTGGAGAGGAACCTATATATTAAAACTATAAACTTGTATCCTCTATATTTAGTCAGGTTTGGGATAATCTAACAGGTCTGGAGAGGAACCTATATTTTGAAACTATAAACCTGTATCCTCTATATTTAGGAATATTCTGACAGGTCTGGAGAGGAACCTATATTTTGAAACTATAAACCTGTATCCTCTATATTTAGTCAGGTTTGGGATAATCTAACAGGTCTGGAGAGGAACCTATATTTTGAAACTATAAACCTGTATCCTCTATATTTAGACAGGTTTGGGATAATCTGACAGGTCTGGAGAGTAACCTATATATTGAAACTATTAACCTGTATACTCTATATTTAGACAGGTTTGGGATAATCTGACAGGTCTGGAGAGGAACATATATATTGAAACTATAAACATGTATCCTCTATATTTAGACAGGTTTGGAATATTCTGACAGGTCTGGAGAGGAACCTATATATTGAAACTATAAACCTGTAAACTCTATATTTAGACAGGTTTGGGATAATCTGACAGGTCTGGAGAGGAACCTATATATTGAAACTAAACGAAGTATCCTGGAAAATATAGAAGCAGAGGAAGCAGGGAACAGGTAAACAAATCACCATAGTAATTTATTAAATAGAATTGGATGATTTGGTGAAATATAATTAAATATGTTAAATTTTTTCTAATACCAACTAGGAACAGTGGTTTTGTACAATTTTCTGTGGCGTATTTAGACTGCTTACTCAGCTTAGGTTTAAGGTTAAAAAACTGCAGTTTGCAAACAACTGCCGAGAAAGATTTTAAACTTTGTTTACATTTTTTATTATTGTTATTTTGAAAAAAGTTGTTTCTAGCTGTCCTTATACGCTGTAGTAAAATGTGTACACAAGTTCTTTCCCCCTACCTGAGCATACACAGTACACACTTTATCTGATAGTAGTGCCATATGGAATTCACAAGATCTGGAACAGACGTCTGTAATATCAATATTGATGTCTAGGAGAAGTATGGCGAGCAGGAGGCAGCAGGAGTTGGTCTCCATCAAGGAGGAGAAGGAGAAGAAAGAGGCAGAGAAGGGTCCGGCCTGGTATTATATCCCTGTAGGAATAAAGGTACTTTATATTATCATTCATCATTTCTGATCTGAGGTTGGATTTAATGAATAGCGTGTAGTAGCTAAACTAGATCTATCTTGTTAAACTTCTGTTTAGTGCAACCAGATCAAATTGAACCAAAGAGTACGTCCAATTTGATCCCTGTGACACTGTGCACTGTGCACTGTGCAGACCTAGTTAAACAAAAATTCTTGTTGCTATTCGTTAAATCCGACAGACTCTGAGTCGGTATTTAATGAAATAGAGAGCTGGTTCAACTTCATAGACCTAGTTTAGTTCAGTTTAGATCCTTCCCTTATCTTATCTTATCGTGAAATATTCCCGTTCATTATTATAATATCAATTAAAACAGCCCTTAAAGGCTGAATGGCTAGATAGGGCTTGACAAATGTATTATATGTATATAATAATTTTAAAAAATCCTTTATCATTAGTCTAAATAAATAAATAAAGAAGTAAAGAATAATTAAAGATTTTAGTAAATTAAAGAAATACATTTTGTGTGTATACCAGGAGGCCCCTGTTGCCCGTGTGGTGACACCAGATCTACTCGAGTATAAGAGATATGAACGCTGCTGTGCTAAATGTGAATCTGTTACGTCAGAGGTAATTTTACTTTGTCATTCACTATCAAATTACTTAAAAAATATATATTTTGATTATTTTATTGTAAACTTTTATTGAAGGAACTAAACATCTGCCACAAGCTCTAACTTTTATTGAAGGAACTAAACATCTGCCACAAGCTCTAACTTTTAATCTCCTTAATATTTGCAAGCTGATCATGTAATCTACTGATGTTTCGAACTTTGGCTATTTGATTTAACAAAATTCATAGTTTTAAATATCAACGATCTAAGGTATCAGGTTGCAAAGATATAAGGATTATAAAACTAAAATTTGCTTCATGTATCTTCATATATGTATTCTGTATTCCTTGACCTTAAACATATTTATCCTCAGGTGCTTGGTGAAGTATGGAAGTGTAAAGGTCTCTGTGGAAACTCCTACCATCTCTCATGTTTAGGGCTCAACCCTAAGGTAGGTTCTCAGCAAAATCTGTTTCAAAACAACCGTCAATAATAAAAAATAACTCAATGTCTTTCAAAAATACACATAATTCATAAATAGAAAATAACAAACCCGTTTTAATCAAAGAATGTTTTTTGATTAAGTTTAGTTTAGATGTAAGTTTTCAATTCGGATTCGCAGCGTGGTAAAACGGATCCGTCTAACTACTGGTTACTAATAAATTTGTCAGTTTGGTTACATTATATACTATATATATATGTAATATCTGTAGGAGGAAGAAGAGGATAAGTGGAAGTGTATTGACTGCTGCGCTGGTATCCTATCCTGTTCTCTATGTGGGCACAGAGAAGGGGAAACCACTGCTTCAGGTTGTTGAACTAAGAAATCCTTTTCCCCTTATCCATTGCCTTGGATAAACGAAAGAAAAAGCATAACACTTCCGGTCTTCGTGGGATTTAAAACTTTATCTATTTTCTCTAGGATTAAAATGTGGTCCTGTCAGACGCTGTGGCTCGAATGGTTGTGGAAAATGGTACCACGAGACCTGTATTACTGGCAGCCCATTATGGCCTCAGGTACTTTTTTGCTTAAAGTTAATTAAAAACTATGGGATTGCGTTCGCATTATATATTTGTGTATTTTGTCCTGTTAAAACATGAAACATAACCCTAACTCAGTCCTGGGTCTTCAACTTTAACTGGTCCACATTTTTATCCTTGGTTTTATAAGCAACCATAATTTATTAGTCCCAATAAAAAAATATATAAATATGATGGAACCGATTTAAAATCCTTATCTCTAGGCTCGAGTAGGGAACAGTAGTTTAATCTGCCCGGCACACATGTGTCACACGTGTGCCTCAGATGACCCTAAGAATCCGGTGATGAAGTACAAGGAGAAACTGATCAGGTATATTAACTCTAGTATTATTTACAGTTAAAGCTGCCCTTCAAGTGCATATTGTAAATGTACTCCTGTTTCTAGAGATATGTAAACTTTGAGTTGCGCAATTATCTTAAAAATCCAGTTTCGAATGTTTCACATATTTGTAATTTTCACATTTTGTAGTATTAAGACTGGTTCTTGGAAAATTTCAGATAACATGATCAAAAAACACCGATTACGCGAATATTTTATACAAGTTTTTTTTAATGTAGAGGGAATGCGTAAAAGAAAGAATGTGAGGGGTTTATAGTTTTTGTTGGCTTAGTCTACAAAGTAATTATGGGGGTGAAACAGTGAAAGCAAACATATTTTGATATCCAAGCAGCTCTTTACAATTATAAGTACTGTTTTAGGTGTATCCGGTGCCCGACAGCTTATCACCACAATGACCACTGTATGACTGCTGGGACACTGATCATCACTAAAAATGATATTCTCTGCCCTAAGCACTACAAGCCCCCCGCCAAGAACAAAAAGAACTTCCACGTTAATGCCAGCTGGTGTTTCATGTGTTCTACAGGAGGTAGGGTATTGTGTTTACGGTTCATGTGTACTACAGGAGGTAGGGTAGTGTGTTCACTGTTCATGTATTCTTCAGGAGGTAAGGTAGTGTGTTCAATGTTAATGTTTTCTACACGAGGCAGGTTAGTGTGTTCACTGTTAATGTGTTCTACACGAGGCAGGGTAGTGTGTTCACTGTTCGTGTGTTCTACAGAAGGTAGGGTAGTGTGTCACTGTTAATGTGTTCTACAGGAGGTAGGATAGTGTGTTCACTGTTCATGTGTTCTACAGAAGGTAGGGTAGTGTTTTCACTGTTCATATGTTGTATAGGAGGTAGGGTAGTGTCTTCACTGTTCATGTGTTATACACGAGGTAGGGTAGTGTGTTCACTGTTAATGTGTTCTACAGAAGGTAGGGTAGTGTGTTCACTGTTTATGTGTTATACAGTATGTACGGTAGGTGTCACTGTTTGTTCTGCAGGAGGTAGAGTAGTGTGTTCAGTTTTCATGTGTTCTACAGAAGGTGGGGTAATGTGTTTACTGGTTATATGTTCTATAGGAATAGGTACGGTAGTTTTGTTCATGTGTTTCTATTTGAGGTTATATAGTGTGTTCATTTATAATATGTTCATTGTTTGTGTTCATTTTTTATGTCTTCATTGTTAATATGTTCATTGTGTTCACGTGCACATTGTTAATGTGTTAATGAAAAGCTAAGATAGCGTGTTCTTTGTTCAGTCATATGTGATCAATAAGTATTAGGACAGTGTGTTAAATGTCTCGAGAGGAAGGATATAGATTTTACATTTGCTGAAGAAAGATCAAGTGTTAGTTAGAAATTTAATACATCTATTTTTCAACCATTTTTATTGTGTATTTTATTAAACGAAAAAAATATTTGGACAATTTACTCCCTTGCATTTGATTGTTTGATTATATGTATTTACTTTAAGGTTCCATAATCTGTTGTGAGATATGTCCTGCTGCCTTCCATCTGGAGTGTTTAAAGCTGGAACACCCTCCGGAGAAATACTATTGTGATAACTGTGAGACAGGACGGATGCCGCTGTATAATGAGGTAGTTTGGGCCAAGATTGGTGCGTACAGGTGGTGGCCGGCACTTGTTGTCCCGCCTGAGAAACTTCCAAATAAAATCGAGATGCTTCCACATCAGGTTATTTTACATATATTTTTCAGAAATAAACTTTTCGCAGATTTTCTTTTTTGTTTAATGGAGAACTTTTTAAATCAAGTACTAGCAAATTGGATTCCCTGAGGTCATGTGAGGTCATAGATTTAATTTGCCAAGTATAGGTTGAATAACAGTCATTCCCCCCAAAAAAATCTGATCTTTATTATTTTTAGGAAGGAGAATTCCCGGTTCAGTTCCTAGGGTCTGGTGACTATGCTTGGATAAATCAGGTATTCACCCTTTCTATCCCCGCCCCTGGGTAAAATTCAATTATTTTTCTTGATTTATAATCAACCCCTAACACCCGTTTGCCCTTTATAGATAACCCCTGAAACCTTTAAGCCCTTAATAGACAGCCCCTGAAACTCTTTAATCCATATGTGAACAACTCGTAATACCCTGTATGCCCTTTATATATAACCCTCGAAACCCTGGTTTTAAACCCTGTAAGCCCTTCATAGACAACCCCTGAAACTCTGTAAACCCTTCATAGACAACCCCTGAAACTCTGTAAAACCTTTATAGACAACGCCTTAAACTATGTAAACCCATTATAGGCAACCCCTGAAACTCTGTAAACCCTTCATAGACCACCCCTGAAACTCTGTAAACCCTTTATAGACAACCTCTGAAACTCTAAAAATTCTTCATTGACAACCCCTGAAACTCTGTTAACCCTTCATGGACAACCCCTGAAACCCTATAAACCCTTCATAGACAACCCCTGAAACCCTGTAAGTTTATCTTCCCTTTCATCAGTAGAAAAGTGTTTGTTCCTATTTAAATTTGTGTTTTAGGGACGTGCTTTCCTGTATGAAGAAGGAGACTCAGAGAAGGTTCCAGACATGAGTTCTAAATCTATGGACGCAACCTTCAGGTAAAACTAAATTAAGCAAGAGTAGGAAGTAAAATGAAGTAGTCGGGTAAAAAGAAAGCCGGATTTATTAATCTAAAGATAATTCTTGTATTTCTAAACCTGAGGTAGGTGCTTTTGTATAAGATTTCGCTGATTTATAACGCTTTGTTCAAGTCTTCTGATTGTTAGATCTTCAAAGAAATACAAAAAAGATTTAAATTACTAAAAAAGCTGATCTCTAAAGATATTAATAATATATTACTTATACTTGGGAATACTTGTAGATTTGTCATCAGAGTTCCAGATAGGAGCATAGAGATGACGTCTTTATGTATCCAGCATTTTACTCATAGGTTTCTCATTCCTGCTGTTCCGGTATTTTATCATATAAAGACTTGAAAGTTTTAATATTTCCTGCTCTTTTGATATATTCTGGTAATTTGTTCCATTTCTCCGCTACTCTGTTGGTGAAGAAATTTCTTCTAACCTCAGTCCTGCATCTGGTTGTTAGTATATTTAATGCATCAGAAGATTGCCTGGTAACCCTGACTGATTCTTCTCCTGCAGTCTGGAAGAACTGTCTCCTGTCTACATCGTCGTAATTGTGCATTAGTTTGAACACTTGAATCATGTCATATCTAATCCTTCTTTCTTCTAGAGATTGAAGACCAAGCTCTTTTAACCTATCCTCATACTCCTTGCTTTGCAGACCTGAGANCAGTCAATAATTGTTTCACCTTCTTCTTTCAATGGTCCAATGGTCGTTTTATTTGACAATTTACTTCTGATATAAGAATTAAATCTTTTATTATCACCTTTTGATCTTGATATTTTCTTTTCTAGGTTTCTCTTTGCCGCTCTTATATCTTTCTGTAACTGCTTCTCAATCTTTTTGTATGCAACCAGTTCACTGTGTTCTTTAGTTTCTTTGTATCTTCTGTAGATTCTTCTCTTCTTCCTTATCAACCTCAACAGATTCCTATTCATCCACAATGGAGTTTTAGGATTTCTAATCTTTTTTAAGGGAACCCACATATCAGTCAGTTGACATAAGTTTGTTTTGAAAGTATCCCATGCTAAACTTGTACATTTATCATTCAGAAGTTCGAACCAGTCCATACGGTTCAAAGCATTCCTAAGGTTTTTAACATCAGCTTTATTCCAGTCAGGGATATATCTTTCTTCCTCATTAACTGGAGTATTATAAATTGTTTCAAGCCAAATCATACAGTGATCACTTTTTCCCAGCGAACGTACATCAGTAATGTTTAAGGCACAGTCAGACCTGTTGGTAATTACAACATCTAGGATGTTACCTTTATTATGGGTAGGAAAGTTAATCAGTTGTTCAAGACCCATCTCCAGACAAGCTTCCAGTATACCTTCTCCTTTTTTATTTGTGGTCAGGGTTTCCCAATTTATTCCTGGAAGATTTAAGTCACCAATAATAAATGAGTTTGGTTCAATGTTCTTCAATATTTCACACAGTTCATCTGTATTATCACTAGTACTATTAGGAGATCTATATATAAGGTAAAAATGAGCATATCCTTCACTAGTTTTTACTTTAAACTTACAGTATTGGTTAAATATTGATAGGTTGTCACAGGGTAAAATCATGAGTCCACTTTTGGCATACACAAGGAGACCTCCCCCTATACCATTAGCAGTGTCTCTTCTATCACATCTAAGTTCGTTAATTAGTTCATAGTTTGTTAAACCCAAAATTGAGTCCTGGATATCACCATGACACCAAGACTCTGTCACTAATATTATGTCCGGTTTTAAGTCTTCCGAGACACAATTTAATTCTTGTACTTTGTTAACAACACTTTGAGCATTAAGGTAGAGAATTGTTAGTTTGATTGGCTGCTTCCTTCCATTGTCCCTCCTGATCTGCCCCTGCGTTCCAGGGGCTCCCCCATAGCTGATTTAGAAGCTTGATCATAATCTTCCCTTGTATCTTCTGCTGGTTCTTCATCATTCTGGACATTGTCCTCCTCATCAGTATCTTTATTTGTCTGATCTCTGTTAGTTTTGGTTCTTTTGTCCTCTTTATGTTTCTCTGGGGATTCCTTTGATCGACTTCTTTTCCTATTTTGAGTTCTCCTACCTTCATTGACATATTCAATGCTCCTACGCTCTGTTCGCTGAAACCTGTCCCTCCTTTCAGAACTTTGAGTATTATAATTTCTCCTGGGGAAAAACTTCTTCACTAGTCTAATTCTTCTCTCACCTCGTGGTCCTACAAGTTTCCATTCAGAGTTCTGTGCAGTATCATTGTCCAGCTCAGAGTTACGCTTCAGAACTTCTCTTCTCATTCTCTCCTCCTCCTCTCTTTGTTTCTTGGTGAGGTCTGGCACGATCCTAATATCTGCATATCTAGTGGCAGGAAGGTTCTTGGCTTTTTCAAGAATTTCTTTACTTATTTCCAGACTACTAAATCCAATCAGCAAAGGTCTACAGTTTTCCTTCTTCTCTCCAATCCTTCTAGAAAACTTGACATTTTCCTCTTTAAGTCTTACTCCAATCTTGTCAAGGATCTCAAGGAGACACTTGATATCCTTCTCTTGTCTAGCTTTACCATTTCTTACATCTTCATTAGCCTCAGCTATGTTATGAAAAAGTAGATTCCCCTTCCTATCTTCTCTTTCTCTTAGCTCATAAAGAAGTGAATCTTCTATTGTTTGGGGCAGTTCCTTAATATCTTTGGTATTTTTGTTACTAATATCACTCAGATCCTCAACTTTGTTTCCTACAGCCTCAATGTCTTCACGGTTACTTTTAACCTCTTTCTCTATCTCTTCCATTCTTTGGTTCATTGTTCTGACTCTCTTGTTCAGCTTCTCCGCTCCAGCTTTACAGTCTTCACATGTAAAACTAATGGAGGAGTTCTCTTTAATAAACTTCAGAATTTCAGGGGAAACATTTGCACACTTTGAGTGAACCCAGCGTTCACAAACATGGCATTCAATACTACCCCCCTCTCCTTTTGCTCTTCCACAGTTGGACTTGCACTCAACACAGGGATAAGGAATACTTTTGGAAGCTGGGGCCATCTTATTCTCCAGGTCTCACCACAAACAATGACACAAGTAAATAAAACTGTTTACTGTTTCTCCAACTACCTACTCAAAGCTCTTACTCTTATACTTCTACGTACAAGCTTGAAACATTTTTTCTCTTTTAGAAGTGAATCAAGCGTTAAACTAGCTTGGTCGTTTTAGCGTTAAAAAAGCAATCTGATCGAATAATAATTATCATAGAAATTTTTGCAGAAAATACATGGAAATAAATCAAACTTAATATCTTAGACAATTTTAATCATTTTAATTAATAAAAAATCAATTATAAATTAAACTTTTCTTATTTTAAGCCAATAGATAAAAGTTAAATAAATTTTTAAATAATTAAAATGTTTTTTTTAGGCGTTTGGAAAGTGCAACTCGTTTCGGACACTATATAGGTAACCAAGATTTAAAAATGAGTTCATTCAAAATATAAGATATTTAATTATATTTTTTTATTTTATTTAGAGGCGTTTAATATTAATACGAATGGTTGGGTCGCAACCTACGTGTATAAAAGATTGAAGGAAGGAATACATTCTAAATCTTAATACCCCCCCTTGCAATGGTTGCAACTATTTATAATTTTCCTGTAAAAAGCCAAACTTGAACAATATGCCAGTCGACCCCCCTTTTTCTTCCATGACAACTCTATTCCAGACTATCATGGCTAATTCCCAAAAAGTATAAACTTTGAACATTTTTTTTTTTTGGTAGCATTATTGAGAAGGAATCGACTAAAGAATTAATTTCGAAATTTGTTAAAATTTTACTGTTTCAAATATGATTAATGGACTTTTTTTTTTAACTGCCAAATGATAATTTTGTTTGCCAAATATCGAATGTGTTGATCTCTTGTTAGTTCATGGAATAAAATTTTTTTCTATGCAACGTAATAAATGGACTGAAATTCTTTAAAACTAACAAATGACCATTTTTGTTTGCAAAATGACCATTTTTGTTTCCAAAATGACTATTTTTGTAAGCCACTAATAACAATTTTTGTCTCCCAAATGACCATTTTTGTTTGCCAAATGACCATTTTTTTATTGCAAAATGACTATTTTTGTAGGTCACTAATGATCATTTTTGTTTGCCAAATGACCACTTTGTTGCTCAAATGAACATTCTTGTCCGCCAAATGACCGTTTTGTTTGCCTAATTACAATTTTTGTTTGCCAAATGTCCATTTTTGTTAGCCAAATGATCATATTTCTTTGCTAAATATTGAATGTGTTGTTCCCCTGTTAGTTCATGAACAACCGGAACATCAGTCAGATTACAACCCTCGTCTTCTTAGCACTCTGGCATGGTTGGCATCCAGGTATTATGTCAGGGGTTTATATTTTCTTGAAAAATTATTGCCCCTATTTTTTGAAAATCATCCACTCTCTAAAGTTAGGCATGTTATTGTTTTTTTTTAGCTGATTTTGGGCGAAAAAGAAAAATTTTCTGAATTTGTTAGATTTTTAAACAGGGGTATATAATTTTAAGAACTCTTGACATAATGAAGAGTTTATCTCTGACTGATTGATTGATTTATCGATCGATTGATTGATTGATTGATTGATTGAGTGTTACTAATGATTACTTTGTGACTGTGGAGGATACTATCTAACCTTCTTCAACGAGTTTATATCAATGGGATTTGAGGCTGAGTGGGCCAAAATGTGGGCAAAGAGCAAAAAGGTAATAATTTCCGATTTTGCTCCACAAAACTTGATTTTGCTCCACAAAACTTGAAAACTTCAAAAATAATTTGGGCAAGGATAGCTCATAGAACTCCAGAGTAAATCTTCTCTAGGGATTTTAGATTAAAAAATTATATTGCAGTGAAACCCTTAATAACGAATACATCGAAAGAATTAATCAAATGTCGTATTCTTTACTTTCTGATAATGGAATGTTGCAGATATTTAGTTTTTTAATTAAATGATTATATGGAGCTCTTTAAAACTGTTCCCGCATATTCATGGCTATTTATTTATTTTCGCAAATACTGGAATTTACGTAATATAGTATAAACTCATTGAAAAATTGTCAAGACGACATTTGATAAATTCTTCCGATGTGTTCGTTATTAAGGGTTTCACTGTACATCTAATTTTCAAAATACCAACCTAAATGCGTAGCTACTAAATTTATTTTACTTTTGAACTAAGGAAATATAACAACAACAAGGAAATTAATTAAACATTTTTCACTAAAATTATTAAAGAAATTATTTCTCATTTTTTCCGGTTTGTAACATAGTTTTTTTTTAATAATCTCAGGAAAGTGGTGTTTCTGGGTAAACTAATTTCAGAATCCGTAAAAGTAAGCCACCCCCCCCCTTCATTGATATATTATGTGTTAAGGTTGAGTTATGGAAACTTCATCCGGCCTACCAAACAGTTACATCTATTATCGGTAAATTGTTCATTTATCTGTAAAAAGCTGTTTTTTTTTGTGTGGAACAATTTTATTAAATCCAGCTAAATTGAAAAACTTAAACTTTTGAAAACAAAATAATAACATTTACTCACAGATTAATTAAAATCAATGAAAAAACCCGTCGGGAATTGGGATTCAATCATAATCCCTCGGGGATTTACATTTTTATTAGTTCTAGTTTTTCTAACAGTAAATGATACTTGTAAATATTTTTCTGGTAAATTTCTTTTCCTCTTTTCTTTCCTATTCTATTCAACCATTCGTCTTAAATTCTGGTTTTTCATATTTCCTTTGATTTAAATACCTAATTTTGCTCTGTCAAATATTTTCATCAAGGGACATTACCCTGAATCTGTTAATGAATAATTTCAGCACTCATCTATTGAAGGAACTGTAGATGTAATTTCAATTGACCCTGGATTATTAATTAATTATTATTAATTAATTAATTAATCGATATTTATATTGGCATGCTTGATTAAAACGGTAGTTTTTAATTTTGCAGCAATGGGAGGATACTTACACAGATTCTTTCAAAAAATTGTTTACTGCTGTATATTTCATAATTATTATAGAGGAACCACAATCAGAAGTTATTAATTTTTATTGAAAAAAGAGGATATTTTCTTAGTTTTGAAGGTTTGTTAATCGGACATGCTCCTATTTAAATGAAATGTTAAATTACGTGTACAGTCCCTTTAGAATCCGACTGGACGATATATTTCAGGTTGGGTTTACGTCCACTTCTTTCTCCCTCACTGTTTCATCCCATTTCCCCTGAAAACAGCTTCAAGGAAAATTCAAGTTTTTTCTTACATTTTCAGGGGAATATATTTCATTTAAATTCCCCTGCTTACCACCCCCCCCCCCCAATGTTTTTTAGGGTTTTATAGGCCAAAATAAAAAAATTGGCAAAAATTATGATTTGTTGTAAAAAAGTATAAAAAAGTATTCTTTTATTCCTTACAGGGATTCTAAAATGTATTAATTATCGTTTGCAATTTTTTTTCATGGCAAAATAATTATGTCTGTTATTTTTCACGCTATCTTTTTTCGGACGTTTTTCGTTAAACGGGCCCATCCAATTTTCTTTTCTTACTCTGCGAGTAATTTCAGCACTAACTAGTCTGACCAAGTCTACAGCAAGTTTGATGTAAAAAAAATTTGTTTCCCCGTGAACTGAAGGATTTAGTAGGATATTTTTTTCCTGAACTTTGGACTTTTAACACCAAAAAGCTAAGTTGATGTTTAATTTTTCCAATTTCTAAAAACATTCTCACTCGGGGGAGGAGAGAGGACTGAGGAGTGTAAATCTTGAAATAGTTTTAGTTTGACGTAAAATCACATTTGATTAAACTTGAAAATGTCGACTAGAATATTTGCCGCGTATCGTAGTGTATACTTCGTGCATTTCCTCTTCTACTTGGGCTGGCCTGTATGGGGCAGACCGGTCAAATCATACCTTCTCCCTCCGAAGGCCAAGTCAGTGGAGGCGACCAAGTCAGAAAGTACTCCTAAGTCAGTTGAAACGGCTAAGTCAGAGGACTTAACCAAGTCCAAATAGAAAAATATTTAAACTAGTATTTATTATTAATGATTATTATTATTTTGATGATTATAAATGAGGTGTAATTAATTCATTGGGGGGAAGATTTGTTTTAAATTTTTCCTAAAACTTTTTTCACTTGTTAAGTCAATTTCTATTTTTTTTGTGACTGAATGTTTTGAAATGCCATTTTTTGCTCAGATTTAAAAATTATTTAGTTAGTCATCAATTGATATAAAATGTTAACGTAGTTGTGAAACATAGTTTTTTTTACGACTGTTTTTAGTCCCCTGTAAACTAGGATTTTAAACATTTTGTTCAAAATTACGATCAGAATTTTAGGATTATAGAACTGTGTGAGATATGTTCGCAATTTTAAACATAATGTTCTTATTTTTAGAATGCCCTAGGTAATTCGAATTATTAGCTTTAACTCTAGTCTAGTATTTTAAAAACCTTGCCATTTTTAATTGTAAAAATTGAATCTTAAAAAATATTTTTTTGATTCTCTAGAATTGGTAGCTGTGTTAGTTAGTTTGTTAAAAAGAATTCTCTAATTTCACCAAATTTTCTCTTAACAAGAAAAATAATTTCATATTTATGTAAAAGAAAAGTATGAAAAATATTCTTTTTTGTAGCCTAGCAACTTTTTAAAATTGTGCCATCATAACTAAATAGTTTGGGATGATACACAAAAAATAATTTTTTAGTTATGTTTTTCTGGGTTATTTTTCTTAATGAGATTGGGACCAAAGTTAAAATAAAATGTAGACATTTAAATTATGAATTTTATAGTATATAATTTTTTAAAAGTTTGTGGTTTAGTAAAAGTATGACAAAAAAATCAATTGTACTCACTCTGGTTAAACCCCCCCCCCCCCCTCTTTCATTTAAATGTCACATAACAAAAAAGTTTGAAAAATATCTACTTAAAAATCTACTTTCATGACCCTCAGGCCTATATTAATTATATAGGATTATTCATAATCAGTTATGATTTATGATTATTTATGATTATTTATGATTATTTATGATTATTTATGATTATTTATGATCATTTATGATTATTTATGATTATTTAAAATTATTTATGATTATTTATGATTATTTATAATTATTTATGACATATTTAATATACTTATCATATTTACCAGTAGACATGTAATATTCTCCTACCCCTTAAATTACGGTCTCTCATACTGGAAACTGTAATGTTGAATGGTGATGTAAAATATCAATAAGAACATAAAGGTTGTAAAACAATGTATTTGACCCCCTCATGAAAGATTTAAAACAGTTAAAATTGCATTATTTATATTGTTTGACTAATGTAAAAATGATTAATTTATGAGATATTAAAGATTAAAATGCTATTTTTTCAAATCGGTTGTATGAATTAATACCCCTCTCTATCCAGAATTTTTTTTTGTTTGAAAAAGTATAATTTCAATGTTATTAATGGTTGTATGTATGTTTGCATGGCAGTGGGAAATGCCCCCCCCCCCATTTAACCTAGCCATTTTTTTAAATTATGATTTTAATGTAATATAACGATTGTATTAACTATTTACAGTGGAAAATGCTACTCTGTCCGGTATACTGCTAAAAAAAGAGGTATATACGATATAAAGGGATTGTAAGCGTAATTTCAAGTGACCCTTCAGGTAAACACGGTAATGCCCGATTCACAACGGTACCCTTAAAACCTTTGTCTGATCAGTAAAGTGGAAGACACGTTCGTCTAAGCAAGCATGTAAGTAATCCGCTTTAAACATAGAAAAACAACATTATCTTCTTAATTATTATAAATAAGGTAAAGATTAACAGGGTACCGTTGTAAATCGGGCATTGCCATCTTTGCATGAACGGTCACTTGAAATTGTGCTTACAATCCTTTTACCGAAAAAAATCGACTTCTAAAATCAAGTTCTCGTGCACGTTTCATGTTTGCTATATATTCATATTGTTCTATTTTGAATTAAATGATTATTGGCCTGGTTAAAATAAAATTCTCATTTTGTTTTTAATTTACAGACATGACATACATGACATGACTTACTTATCTCAGTTTGGTTTAGGTTGACCTTCGTGCTGGTCAGTATGGCGGGGTCACTTCTTCACCTGGTGCTCAGGTCAGCAGATTTAATTTGTAAACCGACTTCTTACATTTTCCAAACTCAGCTTCTGGAAACGAACTTTTTACAATCTTGTTATTGAATTTTTGCAAATCTTATTGCGACCTGTAAAAATAGACTTCTTAAAAGATAGAAATTTACTTGACTCGTTTAAAAAAAAATTCTCAAAAAAATGTTTGTTAAATCAATGGTAGTAATATTTTTGCTAATTCAGGCAATGCAAGTCTGCTCAAAATATTCGGTCCCCCCTCCCCCTGTGTAATGTAAGTAATAATTTATTCATATTGATTGATTAATTTATTGAATGATTGATTGGTTGCTGAGTAGATATAGGCGTAAGTAACCTAAAGTTTTTGAACAACGACATACAGCTCTTATATTGCAGATAAATAGTGGCTGAATTACTTTTCCCTCTGTTTTATTAAATATTGAAATTCTAGTAAATGATTGGGGGCTGGAATTTCATTGTTTGATGGAGTAATGGAGTGTTGGACTTAAGCAATGATAAATCAATCATAACGTGATTCTAGACGAGAAAGTTGATAAATTGATTGACGAAATGAATGTTCAATTGATTTCCAAATTGTTTTAGTTCCCCTTTATAACATCAGATGGACGTGGTTTTACCACAAACACTATTTATCAGGTGAAAACAAGATAAACTGATTTTTTTCTAATTTTCTGAAATTTTTAATGTGAAAGGGACTCTGCAAGGGTAAGTTTAAGGGACCCACCATACAAAGATGGCAATGCCCGATTTACAACGGTACCCTAAAAAGCTTTGTTTGATCATGAATGAATAAGATATGCATGTTTATGTTTCTCTAAGCTGTTCCTTGTTCATTTCCGGTTTTTTGGCAATAGTGACTTGCACATCTCTGGCTTACAAGAAGCAGTGGAGAAAATAACTGAGTTATTTAAGTCAGGAAAACGTCGATATCTTCCACATTTTTATCAGATTTAGGTTTCAAGGGTACCGTTGTAAATCGGACATTGCCATCTTTGTATGGGGAATCTAAACATACAGTGCTTTAAATATATTTATTATTTATCTAGTATTTTACAAATCTAAATTTTTATCTGTAAATCTTTCAGTGGACTGAGTCAAATAGATCGAGCTTATCATGTGGCCATAAATCCCCAACTTCCTGCTGTGGGTCCTCGGACCCTCTGGACCCAAGCCAGCGCTCATCCCGCTCTTATCATTCCACAGCCACTCCCACTGCAGTGGACAAGTCAGTAAACCGGTTTGAGTTGACAAGTTCCACCGCTAGGGGTCTCACCAGTGATTCCACCCGGACGCGTGGTACAGCAAAATCCAGGGGTTCCGCAAGGGTGTCCTCTAGGTCCCTACAAATATCTAGTCCTAGGCAGTATCAGGCTAAACTTACCCCTGCTGAGGTGACCGTCACGCTGCGTGCCAATGAATACACAAACTCTGATCTGCCCACGGGTCCGGTTAAATCCTACGATATGAACACTCTCAGGTCTAACAATCCAATTGAAGATGCTCACTCTGAAGCCCTGTTGTGGAACGGAGGTTATCTCTTTGGTATTTATGACGGGCATGGAGGTGCAGCTTGCGGTCAGGTTGTAGCAAAGCGTTTGCTCAACTATATAGCTGCCGGTCTTCTTAGTCATGCAGAGATAGAGATGCACTTAAAAGCTATACATTCAGGTATTCTGATATTTTTTATGCATATTAAAATGTAGGATAGGAATAAAGTCTTTGACACAAACTCTGATTTTCTAATCCCTATATCATTGCAACCCAATGTTGTAAATCCTAGGTATTTCAAACTATGATTTCTGTTACATCAAATAATCTAAGTTTGAAATATAAAAGCTTTACACAGTCATGTTGCAAATATATTGCGACTAGAACATTTTAGTTTTTGGTAAAGACTCAATTCCTTGATAAAATAAAATTAAAAGCAAAGTTTAAAACCTGTAAAACTAGAGTTGATGAACAATTTTTATTCTAATTTAAAGTACAAACAAACTGAACTTAAGTGCCGCATAAGGAAAGTTATAAATGGTACCGCGGAGAATCGTTGATGGCGCTAATAGGTGACCAAAACTGTTGTAGAAGATACAGAGAACCAACTCTACTCCCTGCTGAAGATATTAAATGAAAACTTTGAACTAGTTCAAGATTTGAAAGATCTGTATCAGGTACTTTTTGATGATATCTCACCAGTAGGGGTCAGATACAGCTGTAGGCGGTTTGGTTTGCCCAAGAATGGGCGGTTTGCAGATCTCATCCTTGTATGATCTTCGTATAGGGGAAACTTTTGTATCTTTAAAGGGACTGTAAGCGTAATTTCTAGTGAACCTTCATGCTAAGATGGCAATGTCCGATTCACAACAGTATCCTTAAAATCTTTGTCTGATCAAGTATGAGTTTAAACTTCAAATTATTTGTAAATTGTTTATTTGAGTTATGGATTCTCTACAAAACTGACTTGTGCACTGCTTGCTTATAAGAAATGATTCACATGTTTGATCAGATTAAGGTTACAAGGGTACCGTTGTATTCTCATCTTTGCATGAAGGTTCTCTTGAAATTACTATTACTGTCCCTTTAAGCTTGTGACTTAAGCGTTCTAACAATTAACATCCCCTTCCATGGTTCAACTTTAGACGACGGACAACCTCATTGGTAAAAGTTAAATTCAAGTGATTAAGCATCAATTTTTTGAATATTGAGTTTAGTCACTGAAGAAGCCATGCACTCTTGTTCAAAAGGTTTGTTGGTTGTAGTCTTGTATTTTGATATTATGCAAGTCGCTGTCTTGTAGTCTGTATTCATGTTTCTTTCTAAATAACTGCAGGTCGGGAAGTTATTTAGCTCACTAGGACAATATTTTGTAATAGGTTAGATAGTTAGGTTAGATAAATTTTGTTGGGTAGTTTGTAGTTAGGTAGTATAATAGTTTGTAGTTAAGCAGTTATGTAGTTGAATTGTGTTGGTTAGTTGTGTAGTTAGGTAGTATTATAGTTTGTAGTTAAGCAGTTATGTAGTACAAGTGTGTTGGGTAGTTGTGTAGTTAGAAAGTATAGTAGTTTGTAGTTAAGCAGTTATGTAGTACAATTGTGTTGGGTAGTTGTGTAGTTAGAAAGTATAATAGTTTGTAGTTAAGCAGTTATGTAGTACAATTGTGTTGGGTAGTTGTGTGGTTTGGTAGTATAATAGTTTGTAATAGTTAAGTAGTTCGGTGGTAAAATTTAGTTGGGTAGTCGTGTAGTAAGGTAGTATAATAGATTGTAGTTAAGCACTTCAGTGGTAAAATAGTTATGTAGTTAGGCAGTATAATTGTTTGTAGTTAGCAGTTCGGTTATTAAATTGTGTTGGATAGTTATGTAGTCAGGAAGTATAATGATTGTAGTTGGCAGTTCGGTGGTAAAATTGTGTTGAGTAGTTATGTAGTTAGGTAGTAAAATAGACAGTAGTTCAGCACTTCGGTGGTAAAATTGTTATGTAGTTAGGTAGTATAATAGTTTGTAGTTAAGTTATGTAGTAAAATTGTGTTGGGTAGTTATGTAGTTAGGTGGTATAATAGATTGTAGTTAGCAGTTGGTGTAGTTAGGAAATATTATATTATTTTATAAAATATTATATTTCTTTAGAAAAGTTATGAAGAATATCTTGAACTATTATCTTCCAGGGAACCTTATTTATTTTACAATCATAAAACATCTTTCAAATTCCTTTCGCAGAATTTGATTCCTTTTGCAGAATTTAATTTCTTTAGCAGAATTTAATTCCTTTCGCAGAATTTAATTCCTTTTGCAGAATTTAATTCCTTTTGCAGAATTTAATTCCTTTATCAGAATTTAATTCCTTTCACAGAATTTAATTCCTTTCGCAGAATGTAATTCCTTTCGCAGAATTTAATTCCTTTTGCAGAATTTAATTCCTTTATCAGAATTTAATTCCTTTCACAGAATTTAATTCCTTTCGCAGAATTTAATTCCTTTTGCAGAATTTAATTCCTTTCACAGAATTTGCAAGTCCTAGCAATAATGAAGTACAGCTTATCTGAATGGTGGGTTGTGCCGTAACCATAAAAAATACTATAATGGACGACACCGATTTAAATTTGGTTACTGTGGTGTGAACAGGAAACAAGATGCTAGTCTTCAGAACCTGGAATCAGTTCTTACAAATGCTTTCATTGCACTGGACGATGACATGTCCAGGTATTGTTTAAGTTCGTTAAAACAAATAAATTAAATATCATTTTGTCAAAGTTTACAAAAAAGGGAAAAAATGGTAAATAAACGATCGTTAAAAACAATTTGTTTTTGCATAATTTTGCATCGTATTTGGATCTTATTTATCTGATTCGTTTTGCACTGCCAGGGTTAAAAAATTGGAAATATGTCAGAAAATCAAATTTTTAGAATCAACAATTATGAAAACATTTTTCTTTATACACTAAAATTTGACCCCCCCCCCTCTGAAAGAAATCAAAGGCTAAAACGATCCCAAATCAAAATAACTGAATGCACATCAGTGTCAGGTAGATAGGATCCGATTCCTTGATCTGTTCTGAAAAATTTGATTCAAATCAAAATGTGGATCCAATTCCAGCTTTACTATTTAACTATCCATCTTTGACGGATACGTACTGAGTAAATACCTCAAGTTTGTTAACAGATCTCTAGTTTGTTAACAGATCTCAAGTTTGTTAACAGATCTCAAGTTTGTAAACAGTTCTCAAGTTTGTTAACAGTTCTCAAGTTTGTTAACAAATCTCAAGTTTGTTAACAGATCTCAAGTTTGTTAACAGATCTCAAGTTTGTTAATAGATCTCAAGTTTGTTAACAGATCTCAAGTTTGATAACAGATCTCTAGATTGTTAACAGATCTCAAGTTAGTTTACAGATCTCAAGTTTGTTAACAGATCTCAAGTTTATAAACTGGTCTCAATTTATGATCAGTTTAAAAACAGATCTCTAGTTTGTTAACATTAAACAGATATCTCATTGTGAATAGATCTCAGTTTTGTAAACAGATGCCAGTTTTTATGCAGATTTTCCGTTTGTTAACAGATCCTTAGTTTGTAAATAGATCCCTAGTTTGTAAACAGATCCAGTTTATGAACAGATCTCCAGTTTGTAAAAAGATCTCAGTTTGTAAACATATCTCCAGTTTGTAAACAGACATCCAGTTTGTTAACAGATCCAGTTTATGAACAGATCTCCAGTTTGTAAAAAGATCTCAGTTTGTTAACAGATATCCATCTTGTAAATAAATCTCAATTTGCAAATATTATTCTCTACTGTTCAGGGAAGCCCAACCAGCAGAGGGCGAAATGGTGAACATGAAAACATTGACAGTAGCTATGTCAGGCTGTGTAGCAGTAGTAACTCATATAGATGGACCTCATCTACATGTAGCATCTACAGGTATATATTAGTAGCTATGCCAGGCTGTGTAGCAGTAGTAAGTCTTATAGATGAACCTCATCTTCATGTAGCATTTACAGGTATATATTAGTAGCTTTGAAACTTTGGCAAAGGTACTGATTTCTTTATGATTTTCTAATTTCTACATCTTTGGAACCTGATTGTGTAAACCTATGATGATTAAAACTCTAAAACAATTCAAAGTAAAAAGGATTGTACAATAAGAGCTTGATACGCGTAATTAATTTCTCTACTGTACAACTTAACAACTGTACAACTGTACAACTGTACAACTTTACTGCTATATTACTAGGTGACTGTACAGCTGTGATTGGTTCACTGTCTGAGACTGGTACATGGATCGCGAAGAAGCTCACAACTGAACATAACTCAGATAATATTCAGGAGGTAGGAAAATGGAGAAAGGGAGGATATCATATACTTTCCGAATTCAGGGGGAAATAATTTTTGATGATTCAGAAGAAAGAAGAAGTTTTTCTTTCTTTTTGATATATCATATCTAATTTCGTGGGAAGAAAAATGATTTGGGACACCCTGTAGTTCAGAATTTTCTATGCCACAAATAGTATGTAAAGATTTGAAGAGAAATGTACATTTTCTTGAACCCCTCCCCTCCCTTCCCCTTTGGAAATAATTTTTTCCCTAGAAGATTCGCTGAAATTGGAAATAGAAACGATTTCCCCCCCCCCCGGCACCCGTCATTATTGTCCAGAATTTTTCTTTTGGCATTTTAACACAAACTAGCTGTTTTTGCCACTAAATCATTTGTTTTACCGTATTTTATGTAAGTAATAATATCACTATTCAGAAATAAAGGGAAAGAAATATCTTTTGAATTTACTATCTACCCCTGTATCAATTAAATATGCTACAATATGTTACACCTGGAAAATGAATGTATTAAAGGATCTATAAATTTTTAATATTAAGGTAAAGAGAATTCTTTCTGAACATCCAGAAACAGAACATCACCATATTATTAAGGTATTTCAATCAATCAATCAACAAATGAACCATTCATTCATCCTTTCCATCAATCATCTTTTCCCTCAATCAATCAATTTATTAATCATCAATCAGTCAATGAACGAGTTAATAAATAATTCATTCATTCCATTATTTAGCCAATCAAATGTCATCAAGATATTTATTATATCCATCAACGTATCAACATTTAAATTTAAAAAATCGATAAATCAATGATCAATCAATCAATTGGGTAATCAAATATCAAGGTATAACATATTATGTATCAATTATCAAGGAATAATAAATTATCAACTAAAAACCATTCAACATTAAATTCTTCAAATCGGATAAAAACCAAATGCTACAAGCTGTAAGACCACCTTTGGTCGGACATCAAATAGATTCTAGTAAAATAGATGGCAACGTAGAATTTGTACACTCTCAGTACAGCTGTATTCTGACGTCACTATCAGTACAGCTGTATTCTGACGTCACTATCAGTACAGCTGTATTCTGACGTCACTATCAGTACAGCTGTAGTCTGACGTCACTATCAGTACAGCTGTAGTCTGACGTCACTATCAGTACAGCTGTATTCTGACGTCACTATCAGTACAGCTGTAGTCTGACGTCACTCTCAGTACAGCTGTATTCTGACGTCACTCTCAGTACAGCTGTATTCTGACGTCACTCTCAGTACAGCTGTATTCTTACGTCACAAGTGTCAACTTAGTTTTTGTGTCCAACAAAATCATTAATTACAGTGATAATTTTCGAATAAAGTTCTTATGTTACAGTAAAATAAGTGCAATTTTATATTTTTTTATTTTCTGGAAAACATGTCATCTAATGTGAGAAAATTTTGTTTTCCCTGTGACGTCTTATATAGTTGGTTCATTTTTCTGTTGCCACCTATTTTACTTGATAATCTATTTGGTCGGACACTATCAATGACTTAAAAGGAATTTAATCAGCTAAAAAATGTCATAAAAACTAAAACTAACACGATAAATTTAATTTTTTTTTTCAGGGAGATCGATTGCTTTCAATGCTTGCACCACTCAGGTATAGGATTGAAATCAGAATTATGTTAAGGTAGACGTTAGTTTATACGGTCCTTTATACAGTGGCATGTCCGATTCACAACCCCACCCTGTAAACTGTTGTATGACCAAGAATGAATGAGATTTAATTTTTAAGTTTGATAATTTTCAACTGTGGTTTTACAATTGAAAATATTTTGCGGAGTTTCTGCTTATCTAATTAACAGCAATGAGAAAGTCGATGTCGTAGCTTTTTTATCTTCAAGTGTTAAAATAGTATTCCCTACAAGCTGAAGTGCCCGGCGGTGCCCTTTGAATTTTGAAAACACTGGGAGAAAAAGATTCAAATTTTGAAGAAGGTTTCCTCAAAAAATGTCAGCCAATTTGGTCCAGCCGTTTGTCCAGCTATAGCTAACATATATATTATTTGAGCGAAGAGCTTTAGTACTTAGTAGAAAGTGAAACCTCAATTGAAAACAAAAGTTTTAAACCTCACAAAAAAGGATATCTTGTTCATCTTTGATATGACAGAGGTTTATTAATGTGTACCAGTGGGGTACGGACATGCCACTCTAGGAATGGAAGGTCTTCTGAAATTACACCTTCAGTCCCTTAGAAAAAGCATACAAATATACAGAAATATAACACTTACAAGAAATAAATAAAAAAATTAAATTGTGTCGGATAAACTACTTATATCATTACTTGTGTATACAACGCACGGATTGTCCTTGGATGATAGTGATAATACCCTAATTATCAATTTAAAAAAAATTTATTAATTAATTTATTAACAACACAAACATTCATATTTGAGAAAAATTGTCTTACCTGTATTTGCTGATGAATTTACTGCTTACATACGGTGGTAGGCGATTATATCAATAAATTGAAGACGACTTTTTATTCTTGTTTTAATGTTTATAAAGCTTTTTTCGAATTACAAGTTTACAAGTAATTAAAGAGAAGCTTTTTTAATGGACAGCTTCTCTTTGTTTCCACGTTTTTGTTTATCATGGTTTGATAAAGATTAATTAAACCGAAAGTCGTCTTCATTATAATGATAAAATCGCTTGCCTTCGTAAGGTTCAAAAAGTACATTTGTAAATCGTTAATGGTACTCTACAATGGAATGTCACTTGAAAACCTTGCTAACAATCATTTTATTCAGGGCTTTCGGAGATTTTAAGTTTAAATGGTCCAAAGAAAGGATAGAATCTACACTAGGGTCTATATTGGGGAACCATGCTTGTCCTCCTAACTACAAGGTTTATTTTCAAGTTTAATATATTCTCAGAAATTTAAAATGAACTTGCCATTGTATTTTATAATGAAAATATTACAAACACGCAGCAAAAATTGTTCATTTAAACTTAAAAAAAAAACATTGAGTCATAATCGGATATACATTAATTTCCGCCCTTTGGTGGTTATTTTTGATGCGGTCTCGGCCTTGATTTCTACGGAATGATGGTTGATCTTCTATTTATTTATTTATTTAAAAAAATTTTAAAAATCTATTTATTACACCTATCTACTAATCTATTTCTCTATCTCTCAGATTTTCTATCTATCTATCTATCTATCTATCTATATATCTATCCATCTATATATCTATCTAGACTCCGCCTTATCTCACCGCAATGCCTGAGGTTACCTATCATCATCTAACAGCCAGGTAATCAAGTAAAAAGATTTAAAAATAAGAAAATAAATAAAAATAAATAAAAATAAAAAAAAACCTCAAACATAAGACAAATAATTAGAAAATATTAAAAAAGTTTAAATGTTTAACATTTTTCAAATGTTGAGAAGAGTTGAACATTTTTCAAAAGTTGAACAATGTTGAGAAGTGTTGAAAAGTGTTAAAAAATGTTGAATATTGTTGTAAAAGTATAAAAAAGGTTGAAAAACGTTAAAATATGTTGAGAAAATTAAAAGAAATGTTGAACATAGTTGAAAATGTTCAAACAAATATAAAATTTAGCGAAATAATGAAAAAATAAAAATTAATTAAAACTAATAAAAAATAAACAAAAGTAACAAGAATTTTGGAAAAGTTTCGAAAAATACTTTTAGGTAATAGAATTAATTTTATTAATATTAGCTTATCATCTAGCCTTCTTTTTGACTTAAGAATAGTAGATTTTTAAATAAAAGAAAAAATTGTCTTTTAAAAATTTCCATTGTTAGGGATCGGTTCCTGGTTCTAGGTTCAGATGGACTCTGGGATATGATGACACCTATGCAGGTTGGTTTAAAGGGAATATTCAAGGATTTTAAATACAGGCCAAAAACTCCAGATACAGGTTGAATACAGGCTGAATTCCCAGATACAGGTTGAATACAGGCTGAAAACCCCAGATACAAGGGGAATACAGGCTGAAAACCCCAGATACAGGTTGAATACAAGCCGAAAACCCAGATACAGGTTGAATACAGGCTGAAAACCCAGATACAGGGGGAATACATGCTGAAAACCCAGATACAGGGGGAATACAGGCCGAAAACTCCAGATACAGGGGGAATACAGGCAGTTAACCCAGATATAGGGGAAATACTGGCTGCAAACCCAGATACAGGTTGAATACAGGCTGCAACCACAGATTCAGGGGGAATACAGGCTGAAACTCCCAGATACAGGGGGAATACAGGCTGAAAACCCCAGATACAGGTGGAATACATGCTGAAACCCCCAGATACAGGGGGAATACATGCTGAAACCCCCAGATACAGGGGGAATACAGGCTGAAACCCCCAGATACAGGGGGAATACAGGCTAAAACCCCCAGATACAGGGGGAATACAGGCTGAAACCCCCAGTTTCGCATCATTAGCTCTGGTTGTTTTGTGGGCCTTGGTAAAGTTAAATTTCTTTAACCTCCCTGTATAATAGTTAACTATAATTATTTACTACTACATAACAGGAAAGTTGGTCGAAAGGTGACAAATAGTTAATTAATGTTTTCTTTAACATAATTAAAGTTGATAAATATAAAATTAAAATTGATAAAGTGACTGTTCTAGGTTATCCGGTTGGTTGGTGAGCACATGTCTGGGAAACTAACCTTGTCTCCCCTTCATCTCTCACAGCCTCATATACCCCTAGAGGTCAGTAGAGGTCAAAATAAACCTAGAGGGCAGTAGAGGTCAAAATAAACCTAGAGGTCAGTAGAGGTCAAAATACCCCTAGAGGGGAGTAGAGGTCAAATTACCTTTACAATTTAACGCCAGAGGTCAAAATAGTACAAGGGGTCATTGGAGGTCATTATTTCATTTGAAGCAAGTATCGAGTTTACTTTATCACTTTCAGAAGTGGTCAACTGGTCAGTCACTTCTGAAAGTGATAAAGTAAATATTGTCATAATATTCAATTTTTATTAATCTTTTGTTTCATCCTTTGCTTAAATTTGTAAAAAAAGGTGGCTTTAAACATGTTTGAAATTAGATCAGAATTAAGATAATAAAAATTTAAGGATATTGCCTCATTGCTGCGTCAACGTGAGGCGGCTATGAAGCTGAAACCTGCAGACGCTAACGCAGCTACGCATCTTATACGCTGCGCCCTTGGAGGCAAGTTTTATTCAATCAAAACATGATTTAAACTTAAAAATCAGGCTCCCCTAAACTCTAAATTTAAAACTAAATTCCTAAAACATAGAAAATTAGTAACCATGACTGAAGACCCTAAAAAGGAACGCAATCTTGACTTAAACTTAACAAAACTGTGCCAAATAATTCAGGAATTAAAAATATAACTGGTTTTTATTCAAAGTGATAAATTCTGTTTTTTCCCTGCATTGTCCGCGTTGTAGAAATGTGCAAAACATAAAATTTTTTGGAGTAGCACCAAATGAAAATAATCAATTTTCCGGTGGTCAAGTAATAATATCTCATTCATTAAACATAGGTTAAAATGGTACGAAGAGTCATTATAGATTCTGTCTCCGGTCTCCGGATTACCACTAGTTCTGATGATTTGACACCAAATAAATGTTTAGGAACAGCATATGGAGTTGATCACAGTCGACTTAGTCAAATGCTATCACTACCTCAAGATATGGTTCGGATGTTCAGGTTGGATATATTTCAAGAAGGTGGTTCTTCCTATCTTCAAACTGTGGAATCAGAAGACTGTTGGAGTTAATTTAGAATTTTAATCAACATGAAATACATCAATTATTGAGTCAAGTTAATTTTCAAGCTACTAGTAAACCTACTTGCTTTTTAACAACATATAATACACATAATATTGCGTTCTTCCTTTTCCACAGTTTATTGGGTCTAACCGTAACCCTAAAAAATATTTGAAATTTGGATTATCAAAAATAATTTTTAATTATTATTTGTTTAGGGATGATATGACGATCACTGTAATTTTCTTTGATGACGAGTATCTGCGGCACTGCTAGCGCGGCCATTTTGAAGAAGACCAGGCCACGTGATGCACCATTTGAAGTTTCATGCTCAGCTTAATTAGAAGATTTATTCAGTCTTTCCTTTAGAAAACTGGATTTTTTTTTTTAATCTTAGTCTTAGTTTCCTGTGAATTAAAAGAAATATTAAATATTATAATTAAATATCTATTCGTTAACTTAGATCAACAATATTTTAATGCAAATAGGTTTCTAGTCTGAATTCTAGAGGTTGTTTAAACCATTTTGAAGATTTAGCGGAATATCCCACTACACGAATATACAATAACGATGTAAACTCTGTAAATTTCTATAGTTCTTCCAGTTATGACCTTCCTAGTGCTTTTGTTAAAGATTTGAAATCCTTTAATTTTTCAGAAAATCCTTGAAACTGTTGCATTAGAAATCCCGCAACAAAATGCAGCACGATGACGTCATTTGGTCCATCATCAACAAAAGCTTTTGCCAGTACAAATCTCAGACAAAAACTCAAAAGTTTTGCAGGAATGAATATAATCTGACCGGCCTTTGCAACAGATCTATTTCCAAAATTTTTTGATATTTTAGAAATTTCGAGAAGGCTATGGACCAGATTAATGAGAATCTCCTGTACTGGCCTGGATTCGTCAAACAGAAGTGTAAGCAAAGGTAAGTTTTTTTTCAAACCCTCATTTGAAAATTGAAATCGAAATTCTATCTATCTTTCTATCTATCTATCTATCTATCTTCTATCTATCTTCTATCTATCTATCTATCTATCTATTATTAGTTTCTCAGTTTTATAGTTTTTTTTTCTACATTTCGTTTTCCTCTATATATATGATGTTAATCTTTGGTCGAGTTAAAGCAAGGTATCACATTTGAAATCTGTTTATTTGTTTTTGTTTATATATTTTTACTTTTATCTTTTGATTCTTTTAAATTTTAAACATTTATTATTCAAGTTTCTTATTTTGTTTGTTTTTTAGAATATGCCCTGAAGATGGTTAAATAAACCGAAAATTTGGCAAAACGAGTTTTTGTTTCACGGATCTGAGAGTGTCAGATTTAGAAGAATTGTATCCTTATATCTATCTACCTATCTATCTATCTATCTACCTATCTATCTATCTATCTCTATCTATCTCTATCTATCTATCTATCTATCTATCTATCTATCTATCTATCTATCTATCTATCTATCTATCTATGTTTAGGCTGGTCAAAATTACTCAGTACCTTATTCGAATGCGTAAGTTGAGACTCAAGCGCGCCAAGAAGCTGGTTCCTGTTCAGAAGAAAATAGAAAGGTAGGAACACTTAGTTTATAGGGACTTTAAAACCTTCATTTGTGAACTAGCTGTCCAATTCACAACAGTAACCTTTAAAATTGTTATTCCTCTAAAATATTCCTCCCCATTATTATTCACACAGTAACATTTCGACATATAACATTTCGCCTAGGTAACATTTCGCCATTTAACATTTCGCCTAAGTTACATTTCGACATATAGCATTTCGCCTAAGTATCATTTCGACTTATAAAATTTCGACATATAGCATCTCGATATATATCATTTCGACATATATCATTTCGACATATAACATTTCGCCTAAGTAACATTTTGACATATAACATTTCACCTAAGTAACATTTCGACATATAACATTTCAAAATATAACATTTCGCCTAAGTAACATTTCGACATTTAACATTTCGACATATAACAGTTCGCCTAAGTAACATTTCGACATATAACATTTCGCCTAAGTAACATTTCGACATATAACATTTCGCCTAAGTAACCTTTTGACATATAACATTTCGCTTAAGTAACATTTCGACATATAAGAACAACTCGCCTATAAAACAGATCGCCATATAGAAACAAAAAAAAACAAAATAAACAAAATAATAAATGAATTAGTAGAAATTAGTAGTTCATTAGTAGCCTAGTAGAAAGTATATATGCAATTATATAAAATTATGAAACATTTTTCAGCTTTATTGATATACATAGATACATGTAAAAGTAGATTTAAATTCAGTGTAGGAGAAGTTGTTTATGTCAACCAAAGATGGTTTCCCCTGCTGAGTTGTAGATGCGTGCAGTACTCCCGACATTGTTGGAATTGCTGTATTTGCACATTTTTGGTTTTTGATTCGTGGATTTTCTGGTATAGTTTCATTTACACTACAATTCAATTGAAAAATTTATGTAAAGGTGAGTTGTTGTTTTATGTCGAAATGTTACTTAGGCGAGTTGTTATATGGCGAAATGTTATATGGTGAAATGTTATATGATGAAATGTTATATGGTGAAATGTTATATGGTGAAATGTTATATGGTGAAATGTTATATGATGAAATGTTATATGATGAAATGTTATATGGTGAAATGTTATATGGCAAAATGTTATATGGCGAAAAGTTATTTGGTGAAATGTTATATGGTGAAATGTTATTGAAATATTATATGGCGAAATGTTATATGGCGAAATGTTGTATGACGAGATGTTTTGAATCGGGCAAAAAAACATAATTCAAGTCGCAAGTCACCACAAGGGTACATATTTTGACGATTTCATTGCACCAATACCTCCGACCCCGCCGCGCCAAGATTTGTCGCACTTTTTGCCATTTTGATACTATTGCTTCAAAATAAATTTATTTTTTCCAAATATAGAAAAACCTAAGACTTTTATAAAATTGTTGCTATTCATTAAATAAACTAAAAGATGTCTACATCACTTTTCTCATTAAATGTTGATTTCTAGAACTATTCTGTTTTTAAGAGCTGTTAAATTATCATTGGTGTCTTTGATGCAGTTACCCAGTACCCTGTAGTTCGGTTGATACAGCAATTAGTAAATTTGTTAATCTAACTTTTTAAAATAAAGACGAGAGCGGGCACGAGAAGAGAAAGCACTGGTTGCTGCTAGAATAGACAATCATATTGAGAAGGAACTATTGGAGAGATTAAAGAAGGTAATATGCTCAGGTTTTCTTCTTGTAAGTATTGCATTAAAGGCATAATTTCTTCTTCTCAAATACTTTATTAAAAACAAAAGAACACTTATACACTTAAAAATATAATTAAAGTTACAGAGTGGCTTGTTCTCCCTCTATAGTTTCAGATAAAATAACAAATGTGATTTCAAATATTCCATGAAAGAAGAAATAGAGATAAACTTTTATTAAATCTGCAAAAATTATGGATTTATGAATTTGTAAAGTGGCTTGGTCGCCCTTTTATTTTAGTAAAGAAAATATATTCAATAAAAGAAAAACGAGAGAAAAAAACTTAAAAAATCAGCAAAAATTATTGATAAGGGCGTAAATGCATAAACGCCTAGGTAAAAGGCATAATTTCAATTGTTAAAAATTAACTTTTTTGGGAAACCTTATTTTCAAAGCAAGTTTGAGCAAGTTACTTTTAATTGTAAAGCTACTCACTCTTCCCGAGTTGACCCATATGAGCACTAAACAGTCCCCCAAATAAAAAAAAAATATGAAAGTAGGACAGTGAGACCCTGAAAAAATGGAAAATAAATAAGTCTGTTTGACTTACAGCAATTGTGCAGTGTACACACCCATTGAAATTTATGAATTCATTTTTATGCTACTGGTAAACAAGATTTATTACTAACAACATCAAAAACAATGAAGAGTGTTTATTTTTAATTTTATTTGATCTATCTATTCAGGGAACATATGGTGATATTTACAACTTCAGTCAGAAAGCATTTGAGAAGGCCTTGGAGAACGAGGAAGTCAGTGATACTGAAGAGAATCAGGTTAGTTTTGGCTTACCACGTGCTTTTCCCGCGCGCTGTGCCGCAAACTTTATGTATGCGCATGCACATTGATATGATTTGTTAATTTATCACAGGAAGAGGAAGTAGAAGGAGAAGAGGAAGAAGAGGGAGAGATTGATAAGGTGGGATAATTGTTTTTGTCATTCATTCATTCATTTATTTATCCTTTAATTCATCCTATCATTCATCCGTTCAGTCATTTATCAATTATTGCTCTTTTATTATTGTTTCATTCATTTAAATTTTCATCTTTGAATTAATTTTGAATTTATTAAGATTTATAGTTGTACAATGTTTTTTTTGTCTTCTGTGTTTCTTATTTTTATAATTTTAAAGGTTGATCAATGAATTACCATTGAGTGATTGATTGATTGATTGATTGATTGAATGCTTAATTTATTTATTGATTGATTGCTTGTGTAGGATGTTGAGCGGGAGCTTGAGGAAGAGTTTGAAGAGGAGGAAGAGGACCGTGTCTTTGTCGAAGATTTTGATGTAAATAATTTTATCCAAATAATTTATTAGATTTAATTTAAATTGAGCAACATGCCAGTCCTAAATATTTTTGGGTCTCTTTTGATTTTACTTATTTTTATTATTTTTAGGAAAGCGAAGATGAGGATATAGAAGATTTCGAGGACAGAGAAAATATTCCGGACGATTCAGACGATTCTTCAGACGAAGAGACGAACCAGAAGTCTAAACCGAAAGTAAAGGGGAAAAAGCGCGGGAAAATTGAAATTGAATTTGAGGAGGAGACGGAACCGCGGGAAAAACTTGCCGCGTAAGATAATTATTTTTTTCAGAAGGATGGAACGGTTGACAAAGATTGCTACGACCCTGAGGAACAACTGGAAGAAGACTGTTGTTCTGACTGCTGCGGCTGGATATGGGTTAAAATGGAACCAGGACAGACTACAGGTAGATAAACTTTAGCATTGGCGTTGGCGTTGACGCCGACGCGAGCGTTAGCCTCAGCGTCAGCCATGATATTTTGATTTTTGATTGTTTATTTTAGAGCAATGCTATGATGACTGCCTGCTGTAGAGAAGCATTAAATTATGGTTCTATTACACAGGGGGTGGCAGACACAAGTAAGTTTATTTTTAAATTCTTCAGAGATTTTAAACTGTTGGTTTGGTGGGTTTGTTGGTTGTTCGATTTAATTTGATATGGGAGTTGGTTAATATTTTGGTTTGGTTGAACGGCTAGTCGGTTGGGTGTAGGTTTTTTTTGACTGTTTTTTTTTTAATAGGTTTGGTTGCTAGTTAAAGGTATGATAATTTAATGTACATTGTACAATTGTTAATTAAATTTTTCTATTTATGATTTTATATGATGTAATTGGATAATTTTTTTTACTGTTTTGATTAATTTGATTGATTGATTGATTGATTGCTTGTCTAGATTATCACGTGACTGTGATACTGAACCCAGCAGCTAGTGGGGGTAAGGGAAGAAAACTATTTGAACAATATTCTGCTCCTCTTCTCCATCTAGCAGGGTTCAAGGTATACACATTATATGCAATAAAGTAATTGGTTCATTGATTGATTTATTTGTTGATTTGTGGATTTGTCAATTTGTTAATTGATTGATTATTAATAAATTGATTTGTTAATTTGTTCATTGATTGATTGATTAGGTATCCGTCCAGTTGACCGAAGGGAGGAATGAGGCTAAGGAACTCATGAAGGTCGGATTTTTTTACTTTAATTAATTTTGCTCTCTCGTAGTTGTTCATTGATCATAGTTGATCATTTCATTTGATGATTATGATTGATTGATTGATTGAGTGAATGATTGATTGCTTTAGATAATGGATAATACTGATGCTGTACTAATTGCTGGAGGAGATGGAACAGTAATGGAGGCAGTTACAGGTAATGGGAAGTAATTTTGGAGGCAGTTGCAGTAAATACATAGAAAAATTGGAGGCAATTAAATGTAATAGGAAGAATATTGGAGGCAGCTACATGTAATAGGAAGAAATATTGGAGTTAGTTAAAAGTAATAGGAAGAAATATTGGAGGGAGTTAAAGGTAATAGGAATTAATATTGGAGGCAGTTACTAGTAATAGGAAGGAAAAATTAAGGCAATGACAAATAAAAGGAAATAATATTGGAGGCAGATGCTCGTAATAAGCAGTAATATTGGAGGCAGATGCTTGTAATAAGAAGTAATATTGGAGGCAGAAATAATGAGAAATAATTTTGGAAGCTAGTTACTAGCATTATAACTGTAGAGCCCCCTCCAATAGTGATACCAATACATGGGACCCCCCTCAATTTCAAGATCTGATTGAATTTACCGAAGGAATGCTACGTAGAGAAGATGCTGAACTATTCCGTCATGTTCCAATTGGAATTATTCCTGTAGGGGAGAACAATACTTTATCCACGAGGTAAACTATAAATATGTTTCCCTGGAATTTCTATCAATTTCTAATTAATGGGACACTAGAAATAATGTCAACTGAGTCTTAAACTAAAGAATGCGCGAATTTTAAGTTCGATGTTAAAAGTTCTGTAAAATAATGAATAGCTACTTAAATATTAAACTTTCTCAATTTTAGATTTTTAATTTCCCGGGAAAAATCTGAACCAATCAGAGAAAAGGATTTACTGAGAATATTACATAACCATCACTAATCAGCTGTTCTTACGTAACCGAAAACAAAACATACAACCGTTTTTTGGGTTTACATCCAAAAATTTCTTTAACAAGGTTTTCACTTTTAAATATATCGTAAAGTTGAATGCCGCTTTCTCAGCTGCAGCTGAATGATGATTGAATAATAGACAAATAGGGAAATGCAGGATTTCAAGATAATTTAAACCTCTGTTTAGATTTTAACTCGTCGATTTTGGCGAGTTAAATATTTAACCACAGGGTTAAATATTTAACCTCACGGTTAAAGTTCAGGTTTAAATTAAGTCAGAAGTGGCATTTAACCATGAACTTAAAATTTAAGTCAAAACTTTTCGTTCTTTAGTTTTGGACTCTGGACTGTCCCTTTTAGATTCATAATGGTTCACTTCAAACCTTTATCTAAGCTACATCGAGGAAGATATGGTCTTTGGTTTTAGATTCATAATTCAGTAAGGCAATTTTATATAGGAACCACTAATAAAAATAAACACTTTTCTGCTTGAGAAATGAGGATATCTCTGGCCCCTTAAAGTTTTAATTGATTAGTTTCAAAATGGTTTGTTTTATATAGGGAATTGACCGACGAAATGATTGATGGTTGAGTGTTTGGTTGATAGATTGACAGATTGAATGCTCGAAGTATTAATTGATTGATTATTAGATTAATTGATTAAATGATCGATGGATTGTGTGATTGATTGATTGATTGAGTGATTTATTTTATAGGTTGTTCCCAGGTTTAGACCAGGTGAGGAAGATGGCAGAATCTACAATGTCTGTGATTAAACAGTTGAAGAAACCAATAAATGTGATTGAGGTAGGATATTCTAGGTGTCGATAATTTCTCAATAGTAGACATTTCAGGAGAAACGCCATTTTATCTTGTTCCGTAGATCCCGATATCTTTGTGTATCCGGAGATGAAAACTTTAGAATTGGATTCCTTTAATCTCGATTGCTGTATCGGAATATCTACTGTGGACACTTTTAATTTCCTTCTCAATCCTCTTTTTTCCTCTTTCTGGATATCTGTACTTTGTTGGGCCAATGAGAGTTCACTCATTAAATGGCGCGAAAAATTTCAACTTCATTAATGAAATGAAAGATAGATCGTGGAAGACCCCCAACGTGGGATTGGCTGTTCTGGTTTCTCAAAACGCCACTTGATTGGTTGAGTTATATTTACTTCTGTTGATACTAACTGAAGATTATATTTATCTTAAGATTAACAAAGAGAGAAGATTAAGCATTGATCTCGATATCCACAATTCTAAAGTTTTAGGTTCGGGTCCAGTAAGCTAAAATGTTTCGGATTTGCAGATCACGGATCCAATCTCTATCTACTAACCAATCTATCAACTAGGTGGAGAATCTATGTGAAAATGAGGACTATAAAGGGAAGAAACTACACGCGTTGAACTCTTTACAAATAGGGGCCTGGAGAGAAGCTGCACAAAGGTAGGATTGTTTATTTAAACCTTAAAACTGTAATAAGGACGCACTGTTTAAGAGACTTGATTTACAATTAATTTATCCCAAGAAACACTAGGATGGCCATTTTAGGTATTAATGTCTGGTATTCAAAAGTTGTAAAATCTATAAAATCCTGGGAAATTGAGTTGATTAATTGAATTACTATGGTTTTGTGTCGTCGATGCGGGATTGGTAGATTTGTGGAACAATCTAAGAGAAATCTTGGATGAACGATGGTTGGGAGACCTACGCCCCAAGTTTCCAGAAGAAATACTGCGCCTATACATTTTTCGAAATGTACTCAAAACATTTAAATTTGACCTTTCATTTTTAGAGCGGCATGTCTGATTCACTACTCTAAAAAGCTTTGACTCCCCAAGAATAGATTTTCTTTTTTAATTTTTAAAATTTTTAAAATTGTGGTTTCTCTATAGAAGTTATTATCGGATATCTTCTGACAGAAACAAACAATGAAGTTTATAAACTCTTATTCAGCTAAATAGAAGAAGTCATCTTCCATATTATTGATAAGATAAAGGTTTCGGGGTCCTTTACAGATCCCTTTCTTAATACTTAAAGGTACCCTGCCCCCTTTCAAGCAGAGGGTCATTTGAAATAACGTTTACTTTTAAAAATCTTATTTTAGAAGGGACAGTTACTGGTACTGGGGTGGACTCAAGGATAAACTCTGCTTTGTTTTTGGATATCTTACAGCACATAAGGTTAATATCTCACAGCACATAAGGTTAATATCTCCAGCATATGAGGTTAATATCTCACAGCACATAAGGTCAATATCTCACAGCTCACAAGGTTAATATCTAAAAATTGGTTCCTCAAAATTTGTTGTTTAAAATTACATTTGCCTTTTTTTTAAATAATTGCACGATTCAAAATCTGTTTATTGACAAAATAAAAGAAAACTTTGACAAAAGTAATCATGAACGGCCTTTTTGTTGTTTTCTCAAAATCTTAGGAAAAAAATCTTAAAACACTTCTTCCCGATGAATCCCCCATTAAAAGTTAAATTTTGTAGAATATTTACTTGGATTTGAGTTAACAGATTATCTCGTTTTAGAATATACATGAAACTGATATTGTTAAATAGAGATCTATTCTGTGCTCTCAGCTTTGATAGATCCTAGAGGCTCTATTATTTAGAGTTTGGTTCCACAAAATTTTTGCTTAATTTTTTAAGAATTAAATTTCTTTTTTTTTTTGATAATCTTGGTTTTAGTAAGAATGCCAAAGCAAATTTTTAGAAAATGAAACTGATTATTTTTAACAAACTACTAAAAGTGAACTATTGTTCAGAGTTTTGGTTCATCAAAATTTTTGCTTTTTCTTAGTAATTACATTTCCGTATTATTTGAAGAATTGTGTGAGAAAATTTTGACAGTAATCTTGAATGGTCCGTTTTTTTGTTTCCTCAAAATCTTGATAAAAATTAGGAAAAGAAATTCTTCCTAACATCCCCCATTAAAGGGTCAATTTTGTAGAATATAAACTGGGATTGGAGTGTGATGGTGGAGAGTGGATCTACCGTACAAACAGTTCACCAGGTGTATATATATATATATTAGTGTACCAGGACGCTTCGCGCCCATCTACTATTTCCACTTTTAATTGTTGCCCAACCTTTCAGCAATTTCTCTTCAATAAAACAATAATATCAATTTTTGCTGAATTGTTATTTTTTTCGTGGATTTTCAAAATTTTACAAAAATCAAAAAAAATTGAAACAATTTTTTGTAATTCTGAGCATCCATTCTCCTTTCCTGGAGTTATGTGAGATTTGGGCGCGATTGGTTCAGCCGTTTTTGACGTTCAATAGACGCAAACAAACAGACAGACAAACATAGAGCAAAGTATATAAATATATGTAAATATTTGACCAATAATGCCCCCTAAAATATAAATATTTTATATTTTGCCGAATTGGACAATAAAGTAAAAAGTGAAATTAAAAAAGAGGTTTTTTTAAATTGTCGAAATTTTTTTTTATTTAAACATAAAGTTTTAACCCTGGCCTTGCGACCAGGTTGAGGAGAAAAGACGCGGCCTATCCTCCCTGTTCTCCTCTACACCCTCTATAGTAGAGGTCGTGGAGGAGGCCGAGGAGTGGGACCAGGTCCTCGATACAACAGTCTCAGAAATAGATCTCAGGTGGGGTAAAGTTAATCTTCTCTTCTAGTGACTGGTAACACTAATTCAATTGACCCTTCATTTTATGAGTTACATGTGGGACTCAGAAACTGACCCTTTAGTCCTTTGTAAGTGCAACTCTCAATCAGAAAATTGCATACAAAAAAAAATCGTCGATATTAGAGGTGTATTCACTGATCCCCTGAACCAGTAAAATCTATTGATTTAAGGAACAAAATTTAAGCCCCCCCCACCNAAGAACCAGCCCGTAGAATGAGTGTAAATGGAGAGGATGTAGAACTGGTTGATTGATTGATTAATATATTGATTGACTGATTGATTATAGAAGAACCAGCCCGGAGTATGAGTGTAGATGGAGAGGATGTAGAACTGGTGGGTCCAATCAGGAACATAATCATTCAATGCATTTATGCTTTTTCAGGGGTGTATATATCCCTAATATATTTTCCTAAAAAGGTTTTTACTTTGAATTGGGGAAAATAATGATATTTGGGGTAAAAATATTCACCCCTCAGCTTTTTATTAAAGGGACGGTAAACGTAATTTCAAGTGACCCTCCGTTGATAAAGGATTCACAACTGTAACACTAAAAACTGTTGTCTGATCAATAATTAATTAGATATCCATATTTTTTTATTTTAAAAACTGTTTTTTTTCATTTGTGGTGATTTGCGCATTTATTGCTTCGGAAACAGTCCCTTCAAATATCGTTTCTAATATCTAAAGCTAAAAACAAATTAGACATAAACATTTCAGTTCTAAGAGGTTTAAGAGTTAAAAATCCGAGGACTACTAATTGTTTTTATGCATATTCTGAAAACATTGAACTCTTTTGAACGACGATTTTTGTAGAACGAGTTTACTGTCAGGAGCAATAACAGTTTTTTGTCGGGTAGGTTCAACCATTTACCAAATGTCAAAATGGATTATTTTTTTAATGAAAAATTCGAACACAGACATTTTATTTGTATTCATTCATTCATCATTTTGTTTACTCATACACCCATTCTTACTTACTTGATACTTGAGAGTTAATTCTCCATCTTCCATCTAGGAATGTTGAGAATGTCTTAATTTCTTCATGTGTGGTCTGCTATATATCAGATGTAGCTTTAGTTTTTCTCAAATCTGCAGCCACTCCATTCTCAATGAGAAAATGAGTACTCCTTTATCTATTCAATAATGCTCATTTTTTATTCAGTCTTATTCTTTTATTCTTTTTATTCTTTTCATTTCTACTCTTTATTCATTCATTTATTTATTTATTCATTCATTTTTTCATTTATTTTTTCTTTATTAATTCACCGATTCTTTTAATCTTTCATTTAATTATTAGTTTATTCATTCATTTATTTATTCATCCTTTCATTCCTTTATTTATTTTTTATTTATTAATTCACTGATTCTTTCAATCTTTCATCAACTAATTCAGAAATTCATTCTTTATTTCATCTTACATCACATTATCTGATGGAGCTGTCGGGTCGGGTTTAAGTAAACTTAGAACACAATTTCGACTCTTGGTTAGAAATAAATAAATTTAATTCTTTCATTTCTACATTTTTTCATCCATCCTTTCTATCAAACTTTCATTCATTAACCAATCTGTTCATCTATTTACTTATTTATTCATTCATTCTTCAATTTATCCTTTTATTGATTTTTCATTCATTCATCCTTTCATCCTTTCATTCATTGACTCATCTATTCATTTTTTCAGTCATTAAATCATCTTTTCATTCATTATTAATTGATTTATTCTTTCATTGACCATTCAATTATATTTTTATTAATGTATTTCCCCTGTGATAACTAATTCTTATATTGTATTGCAGGAAGATGAAGCTGTGACACCAGCCCGAGATACTGTTCAGGAACCTTTACGATGGTCCAATATTGGGGTCTCCAGTCTAATAGCCAACTCTAGACAGCGATTGTAAACCTAAATAACCTGTTATGGCCAATTTTAAACAGAGATTGTAAATGTGCCATTCTCAAGATTTATGGCCAATTCTTGACAGATAATCGAAAGAAATCATTCTCAGTTATTTGGCCCGGTTTAAAACACAGATTGTACACCCAAGTATTCTCCTTTTTTTTACGGTCAAGTTCCAACAGTCAATGTTTATGGTCAGTTATGCCAAAGATTGTAAACAAGTCAGTCTCGGGTTTTCTGGCCGGTTTTACACGAGAGATTGTAACCTACCAGTCTCCTGTTTTATGCCCAACTAAAGACAGAGATTGCAGTCTACCAGTCTCCAATTTTATGGCCAAAATTTTTTAATGTCAGTTGAGACTATAATTTATGGCTTTTTATAAACAGAGATTTTCAACAAGCTATAATGGCCAGTTGTAGACACTGATGGAAAACCTACCATTTTTATGGCCAGCTCTAGAAAGAGATTTATACCAGTTGTTAGCAGAGATTGTACTATACCTCGAAAACTACAAATGTTGTAGATTTTTAAAACATGAAGAAGTAAAGCGAAAAATTACAATAATAATCTTTTTGGACGTCAAGTTTGCCAGGTCGTAAATTGTAGAGTGATACATTTGAGTAATACTTTATTATTTTATTTTTTCATTATTTGCTTTACAATTCAAATGAGATATTCATGCTTATGAAAAAACCAATTCTGATTATATTTACAATATGTTAAAATTTCATTAATGTTTTGTTACAGATGATTCGAATATGAATGATGGGAGAGAAGAACTAGATAAAACATTCCACACGGTAGAAGAGAACAAAGAGAAACATGAGAAGGAAAAATTAAAATCAAAACTTATCAAAGAGTCAAGAGATACTTCAAAAGAAATCGAAGAGAATATCTATCGGACTGATCCCAGTTTAAAACCTGAAAACGTTGCTAGTTTTGTCTCCAAGTGCACGGATGGACTGCTCAACCATTATGAACCAACATTCAAGAATATCAGAAAAGATTTAGGAATCAGATTAAAAATAATATTTTTACTTTTTTCAAATTTAAGTCGTCACTAATCTCTATTTATTGCATGACATGCCCTATTCTCTATTTATAGGGTGACATGTCATATTCTCTTTTTATAGCGTGACATGTCCGATTTTCTATTTATAGGGTGACATGTACGATTCTCTATTTATAGGGTGACATGTCCAATTCTCTATTTAAGGTTGACATGTCCTATTCTCTTTTTATAGGGTGACATGTCCTATTCTCTTTTTATCGGGTGACATGTCCATTCTCTATTTATAGGGTGAAATGTCGGATTCTCTATTTATAGGGTGACATGTCCGATTCTCTATTTATAGAGTGACATGTCCTATTCTCTTTTTATAGGGTGACATGTCCGATTCTCTATTTATAGGGTGACATGTCCTATTCTCTTTTTATAGGGTGACATGTCCGATTCTCTATTTATAGGGTGACATGTCGGATTCTCTATTTATAGGGTGACATGTCCGATTCTCTATTTATAGAGTGACATGTCCTATTCTCTTTTTATAGGGTGACATGTCCATTCTCTATTTATAGGGTGACCTGTCGGATTCTCTATTTATAGGGTGACATGTCCGATTCTCTATTTATAGAGTGACATGTCCTATTCTCTTTATATAGGGTGACATGTCCTATGCTTTATTTATAGGGTGACATGTCCAATTCTCTTTTTATAGGGTGACATGTCCATTCTCTATTTATAGGGTGACATGTCGGATTCTCTATTTATAGGGTGACATGTCCGATTCTCTATTTATAGGGTGACATGTACGATTCTCTATTTATAGGGTGACCTGTCCGATTCTCTATGTAATGGGTGACCTGTCTGATTCTCTATTATAGGATGACATGTCCGATTCTTTATTTATAGGGTGACATGTCCGATTCTCTATTTATAGGGTGACATGTCCTATTCTCTTTTTATAGGGTGACATGTCCGATTCTTTATTTATAGGGTGACATGTCCTATTCTCTATTTATAGGGCGACATGTACGATTCTCTATTTATAGGGTGACATGTCCGAATCCCAACAGTTCAATGATGGAGAAGATTTTGTTTTATGCCGACAATTTCCTCCATTGTTTCAGATATACAAATTCGCAAATTACAAAACCACAATATGTACAATACTTATAAAGAAAATAGTTGTGTACCTCATGAATTCATAATTAGACAAAGTGTACGGTACCATTGTGAATATGACATGTTACATGTGTCAATGAACAGCTTGTTCATATAACGTCCACAGTCTCTTTTGTTGAAACTAAGTGATTTACTAATTTTTGAGATGTCATCTTCGTTGTTTTCTTTTCATATTTATCTGAGCTACAAGAGCGCTTAAAGCTCAAATTTTTTATTTTAGGGAATAGGAAATTTTAAAAACAATGAATCATTTAAAAAAATGTTTTCTTGCGGAAAACAATAGGTTTTTCGAGTATTATGTGCTTATGCAGCATTAAAGCTTCGGAATAATCTAATATGGGACGCTCTGTAAATTGTCTTTTTGTCTCTGTTATTACGAATCATTTTTTAAATCGCTCACCCCTGCGTAAAATGAACCACTACAGTTTTGGTTATGTCCGTTACTTGAATCTTGATGTGCATAGTAGTGCAGTTGTTTAAATATACTTGAATCTTGATGTGCATAGTAGTGCAGTTGTATAAAAATCAAGAAACTGTCCTCTTTTGAAAGGGAGTGATAACGAATTGTTTAAAGGGGGTTTGGACTGACCCTTAAATTGTCAATGAGCGGAATTTGTGGAAGAAAGCCTGTACTATTTAAATAAATGTAATGCCTCTTTCAATAAATAGTAATCTGAGGAGATGTTGGGTACTTTCCAAAAGGCATTTTCCCTAGGGTTCTTCACAAGTGCTCGACCCCTAGCCCATCCTGGCCGTAAGAAGGGAAGTTGCCCTAAGTGAAAATGCCTTTGGGAGCATACCTTCCACCTCTGATGAATGTCACTCAATGGGCCAAATATAACATTTTTTTTTAAAGTGAAATATTTTTTAGTTTTCTAGCCAGCTTATTTATAGTAAGCAGATATTTCGCCGCCTTTATTAATATAAAATCTTATATTTAAGCCTTATATCTGGAGAAACTAGCCTGGAGGAGATGATCTCTGTTACATCTCTTTATAAGGTTTGTTTCTTATTTCTTAAAGGGACTGTAAGCATAATTTCAAGTGACCTTCCATGCAAAGCTGGCAATGCCCGATTCACAACTGTACCCTTGAAACCTTCATCTGATCAATAATGTTAAAGCTATTGTCTTTTTCTGGCTTGAAAAGTGTTTATTTCTGATACTTTCTACATTGCTTCTAAAGCACGAAATGCGCAAGGCACTTTTCAGAGAAACCACAAATAAAAATAAACAGTTGTGATAAATCAAAGCATGAATATCTAATTCATACTTGATCGGAAAAAGCTTTTAGGGTAATTGCCATCTTTTCATTGAAGATCACCTTAAATTACGCTTACAGTCCCTTTAATCTTGTATGTGGGCATCATTTCTATTAATTATTATTTATTATAACATACATGTTTTGGTTGAAAAAAGAAAAAGATAATTGACAAAGGGTAACAATCCCCTTATATCATGTTTTAAATGAAACTTTTGTTACAAAGGCAATGGAACATTGCAAGTTTTATCTTGTTTTCTACAATCCAGATTTTAGGCCAATTTCAATATTTTTTTGAAGGAAAATGTAAGATCTAATATTTAATGAACTGAAAAAAAATTCATAAGTTTTTAATTCTTTTTTTAGGAAAGATTGGATTCACTGAAGGCTTCTATGCAAACATTATCTGAAAGGTAATTTCTCAAGTTCTCAGTTTCTCTTGTTCAAATCATTGAAACTTCTAGAGACACCTATTTGAAATATTAGACATGTAAATAGAGACACCTAGTGAGCAAATTCTAAACTAATATTCTAATATTAGATCTGCGAACCTGCGTGAGCGTGCTGCTCGGGTGCAAGAGGAGAAGCAAGCGGAAGCATTGAACAGGGAGTCTAGACGAGCAGCTAAACAGGTTTTGCTACTAAAACAATATTAGATTATTGAGAGGTGGGAAATTTGTGGGAGGTGCGTGCGAGATTAGAGTTGGGCGGGAGGTGGGAGTTGGTAGATTGGAGGTGGGAGTTGGTTTATGTTGAAAATGTACTGTTGTAAAATTACTATCTTTGCATGGAGGGTCGCTTAAATTACGCTTACAGTTTCTTTAATGATATGAAATCATTATTTGATATTGAATTAATGTTTAGGAGAAGTTTTCTATGCAAACCATGATTCATCCAGTACACAGTGGACTCATCCCAGAACAGGTTGATCATGATATTAAGTAATCTCTGTGTGGTATAATTAAGGGGGGCCGGGGGGAGAAGTCTTCCTGCTTCATAGCGTCCTAGAAAGTTGGGATCAGGATATTTTTGTTAAAAGAAATTACTTTCAGGAAGGAGGGGAGGGAGTTTATTTTTCTTGCTACCTAGCTTCTTTATGAGGGAGGTGTACTTCTTCTGTTGACCCTTTTTCCATCTTAATATTGTTTCTTTAATTATTTTTGTAAGTTCCAAAGAAATATTTTTAGATTTGATTATTTTCAGGGCGAAGGAAGGTTGTCTCCGACAAGCTACCGTTTGGCTGGGAGAGACAAATAGGAGAGGACAATAAGGTAAAGTACACAACAACTTTGAGTCCTGTGAACATATGTACATTGTACGCTGTTACACTCCAACCTTGGGGTTCACAGAGTACACTGTTCCGAGTCAGTATCAAGTTTATTGTAGTTAGCGTTGTGTGATTTAATAATGGATTTTTTACATTGTTATAGAATAGAACTTAAAACATAAATATTTTTGGATAAGCTTAAATGATTGATGGAACCAAAAATAGGTCCCATTTCTATAATTCTCTTATCCCTGCCATAGCTGCTAAATGGCAAATTAAACTATTTACATATCAACTGTAGAGTTAAGATTGTGCCCTGTCAGTGTCTACTCATAGAATTTCTGTACAGATGGTTAATTAATTGATTGATTGATTGGTTGATTGATTGAATGATTGATTGATTGAATGATTGATTTATGGTTGATTGATTAATTAATTAATTGATTAATTGATTTAGGTGATATATATTGATCATCATAACCAGCGAACAACATTTACTGATCCTCGGCTTGCCTTTGCTGTAGAGAAGAATCCGGAAAAGGATAAATTTAGGTAGTAACAAGGTTATATGCTCTGGATGCGCTCCAATGTAAGTAAACGTCGTCTTTATTTGCGATGGAGACCCTAATCCTCGTATGACGTCACTGATACTTAACTAACAATCATTTAACAGATATTGATTGTGCAACAAGTTTAAAGCTAAAAATGGAATTCTAATTCAAGTTTTCAATTTTTGAGTTCGTTTATGTTTAGTGAGCCGCAAAATTTATTAATCGTTAAAATAAGCAGTGACGTCATATGAGGATTTAGTGTTTCCATTGCTTTAAAGGTCGTCTTTACCTACATTGGAGCTCATCCAGAGTATCCGGTAATAATAATAATAATAATAATGTTAGACAATATTTTTCTAGTCAAATTTATCACACAGAAACAATGATGTAATAATATTGAAATAATCTAAACAACAGAAATGATATTGAAATTATGGAATTTGGAAACACAAATATTCATTCGGGTTTTATTGTTAATTCTTTAAAATGCTGACATAAGGGATGCTTTTTTTGTTTTAATCTACAAAATGAAAATCATGATTGACTAGCTTGGGAGCCCAGCGCTATAGTCCTAGTTATTCCCTCCGTTTACCCGCACTTTGTCGTAAACGATTATTTTGACTGTTTTTCCCAACAAAAGTCGACCCAGTCATCTCAGTATCTCTAAACCAAGCTAAGAACATTCCTGTGGTTATCACGAGTTCCCCCTATCAAAATTTGAGGCAAATCGGTTCAGGGGTTCGGGATTCCTGAGTTATGATCGGAAAAACAAAGACATACAAACAGAGATTACAACTTTATATACAGATGCTATATACAATCCTGGAATGAAATCTGTGTTAAGACAAAGATTTGATGGATCCAGCCGAGCTCTGCAGGTTCTTCACGGTCAAGATCTGACCGGCAGGGTGGCTGTTGTAACAGGGGCCAACTCAGGAATAGGATTTCAGACAGCTAGAGCTCTAGCTCTTCATGGTTGCAAGGTAGATTTTATTTCTTTATGATTCACTAGCGAGTATATAGTTCCGGAGTTGTATTAAAGGGACTGTTGGAGTAATTTTAAGGGGCCCTCCATGCAAAAGTAGCAATGTCCGATTTACAACTGAACCCTTAACCCTTTATCTGATGAAGAATGTGGGAGATAACTTCGTTTTTCTGACTTAAAAAGTGATCGATCATTTCGCCTTTGTTTTTAATAGCAAGATAATGCCCAGTCACTTCAGAGAAACCACAAATGAAAATGGATATCTAATTCATACTTGATCAGACAAAGCTTTTAAGGGTACCGTTGTGAATCGGGCATTGCCACCTTTTGCATGGAGGGTCACTTTAAATTGATTAAGACGCACATTATGTTAAGGTGGTATTTGCCTGCAGAAATGAGGGGAAAGCTGTAAGCGCAATACAGAAAATAACTGATGAGCGCGCAGGAGCAGACTGCGCATTTATTCATCTTGATCTGGGTAAATTTTTGTTTTAAAAAAAGTTCAGGAATATTCAAGTTGTATTTTCAAGTTGTATTTTTTTTTGTTACAAATTGAATAATTTTAGATATTTTTTTACATCATTCAAATTTAGAAAGTTTTTCTTACTTAGCTTATTTTAATTATCATAGTGATTCCTTAAAAAATGATCAACTTAAATTATTGCAGCAAGTTTTGCCTCCGTGGCTCAGTTCTCAAAGAAGTTGGCAATTCAGCACTCGGCTTTGGATTATTTAGGTAATATTTTTGTTGGATTATTTCCATGAAAAACCGCCCTTAACCCCCCCACCCCACCCCACACAGAATGTATATTCTTTGTTTGTCTTTCCCAGATTTACATGCTAAGAAAAATGCCCATGAATGAAAACAATTTTCAAAAAAATTAAAACGTTTATTAAGATACCCACTTAATGGAAACTTGATTCCCGCAACTACCATAGTTCCTTCATAACTAAAGAATCACAAAAATAAGTATTTTAATATTCAAATTAATTTTGTTTATTTAAATTTTGGTGTGCCAAAAGTATATTTTTTTTAGTTTTAAATGCTGGTATTTTTGGTTTGCCCTATACTCTTACTGAGGATGGACTAGAATCTATGATGCAGGTAAAAATCAATTAATCAATCAAATTGTTCTCAAAACTTTTAAATTGTGGATATCGAGATCAATGCCTGATCTTGATCATTTGTTGATCTATAGATTAATTTAATCTTTATTCGATATACACAGTGTATCCTGAAGGGAAAACTGATATGAAGAGATCAAGCATTCATCTTCAAATTAAAAGTGTCCACAGTGGATATCGAAATCAAGCGATTGGGATAATGAGTGTCCAACATAAAAGCTCCTAGCTCAGTGTGTTATCGTATGCACCAGTGGTCAGAATCCACTCGATTTGCAACATTTTAGCTCATTGGATCCGAATCTGCAAAATATGTGAATCCACGCATCCGGAAAAGTCGAGAAATATTACCAAAACATCTTAACCCACAATTGAATTGTCAATCAATAATGAGATAATCATCGAATGGTAAATCAATTTTTTTTAAGAGAACATAGCAAAAACAAAAGAAGAAAATTTCTTAAAAATAGTTTTTGGGTTGAAAATAAGCATTTTTCCTTCTCAATGGTTCTAAGCACTTGTATAAATTGCAATGTTTTGGTGAATTATTTTTTCGACTTCTATCTATCACCTAAGCATATTAATATTGTTAAGGTGAATTATGTATCAAACTTCTATCTACTAAGCATATTTATATTGTTTAGGTGAATTATGTATCCAACTTCTATCTACTAAAACAACTTGAAAAACTACTTGTATCTGCTCCAAACCCAAGAATAGTTCTGCTTTCGGCCGAAAGTCATAGGTAGGGGCAAATTTTTTCTGTAGTAATTTGTATAAAATATACAATATAACTACACTAAATTAAATTATTAAAATTCGCTTAGGTAGATGAAACTAATTTATTCAGATTCGCCCGGTAGATTAAACTAATTATATTTATATCCGCCTTTATAGAGTTGCCCCGGTAGATGAAACTAATTATATTCAGATTTGCCCCGGTAAATGAAACTAATTTTATTCAGATTTGCCCCGGTAGATGAAACTAATTTTATTCAGATTTGCCCCGGTAGATGAAACTAATTTTATTCAGATTTGCCCCGGTAGATGAAACTAATTATATTCAGATTTGCCTCGGTAGATAAAACTAACTATATTCAGATTTGCCCCGGTAGATGAAACAAATTTGACTGAAATGATGTTCACCCCTCGCCCTTCCACCTTCAGTTCTATTCAACAGGAACAAACTTCATGCAATCAAGCAATCAATCAATCGACCATTCATTTATTAATCAATCCATTAACGTATCGATGAACAAACCACAAAATCTATAGATTTGATGTTTAGAATCTAAATTCTAGACTCTGAACTCTAAACTCTAGATTCTAGATTCTAGACTCCAGATTCTAGACTCTAGATTCTAGATTCTAGACTCAAGATTAACGTAACTTTTTTAAAATATACTAATTTCCACTTTCTGGATGGATTGTTGGCATTGTTTGTCTAATTTTGAAGTGACCTTTACAATTAAACCTTTGAAACCTTGATCTAATCACAAATGAGGAAGATATCGTCATATTTCTAGGTTTATAAAATGTTCAATTCTAATAATATTTTTCTTCCCTTGCGTCTGCAGTAGAAATGCGCAAGTTACTTTTGCAGAGAAACCACAAAACAAAAACATGGATATCTATTAGATTCTTGATTGGACAGAACCTTTAAGGATACTGTTGTCAATCTAACATGTCACCTGAAATTTTCTTTTTGTTGAATTCTGAAAAAAAGTTTGTTGTCTGCAGTACAATACATCAAAACTGTTCTGTGCTCTGTTTGCCCAGGCAGTACACCACAAATATAAACATCTAGGGATCAAGTGTTTAGCTGTACACCCAGGGAACCTAGGCATGTACCACATGTACACGATATTATGTACTTAAATTTTCAAACATTTTCTTAAGCGATTTTTATCAATTCAGCGTGTTTTTTCTTGCCTGTTTTGATACATTTGAACATCCAATTTTTTATTTTATAATATTTCAGCTCAATACATAATCCAAAAGGTTGTTTTATTTCCCTTTTCCCCACAATGATAAAATAATTTTTTTTAGAAATGTTTAACATCTTGAAAATTATTATCATGATGTCTAAAATGTACACTGTACACTAATGTACAACTTATACATGTGTACTGTGTAGTTAACACCAACCTATCTTGTAACTGGTGGTTCTACAGAATACTTTTCAATCTAGTTACACCATTCACTAAATCTATTCAACAGGTAGTAATTCATTCTTTCATTCATTAATTCATTCATTCATTTATTCACCTATTCAGTTATTAATTAATTCATTCATTCATTTATTCATTAATTAATTCATTCATTCATTTATTCATTAATTAATTCATTCATTCATTTATTCATTAATTAATTCATTCATTCATTTATTCATCCTTTTTTTGTTTATTCATCCTTTCATTCTTTTGCTTCTTCGTCTATTCATTCATTTAACCATTTAAATGATTTTTGATTCTATATCTTATTCTTCATCCGCTAAAAATAATACTTCAGCTATGAATTTTTTTTTTCTATTTCTCTCTTATAAATCTATCCATCTATCTAATTTATATATTTTTTAATTGTTCTATCCATCTTTCCATAAGACCATCTAATCATCAATCTATCTATTTTATATGATTTTTTATCTATCTAAATCCTCCAATTACCTTTCTATCTAACCATCTATCTAGAAATCTTTCTAATAATCTAACTATCCATCTATATTACTCGTATATAATTATCTATCCAACCATCTATCTAACATCTATCTAAACATCTATCTAACCATCTATCTAAACATCTATCTAACCATCTATCCAACCATCTATATAAACATCTTTATAACCATCTATCAAAACATCTATCTAACTATCTTATGCAATTATCTATCCAGACAGATAGAAGTGTTATAATTGCTCTGTATTCTCCTGATATCCAGGATATTTAATGATTATCTATCTATCTATCAAGGCAGCTGGTAGTGTTATATTTGCTCTATGTTCTCCTGATATCCAGGATATATTAGGATTATCTTTTTATCTATCCAGGCAGCTGGCAGTGTTATATTTGCTCTATGTTCTCCTGATATCCAGAGCTGAAAACTTTAGAATGGTGGATATCAGGATTAATGCTTAATCCACTCTTTTTCTTAATCTTGAGATTAAATATTGCTTGTTCTCCTCTCATTTTTAATCTCCAGATTAATTATCCGATCAGGATTAAGGATATCCCATATAATACTTCAGCTATGAATTTTTTTTTTCTATTTCTCTCTTATAAATCTATCCATCTATCTAATTTATATATTTTTTAATTGTTCTATCCATCTAACCATATGTCCATCTATTCATCTATCTATCTTTTTTGTTTGATTTTTTATCTATATAAATCCTCCAATTACCTTTCTATCTAACCATCTATCTATCCAACCATCTATCAAAACATCTATCTAACTATCTTATGCAATTATCTATCCAGGCAGCTAGAAGTGTTATAATTGCTCTATGTTCTCCTGATATCCAAGATATTTAAGGATTATCTATTTATCTATCCAGAGCTGAAAACTTTAGAATGGGATATCCTTAATCCCGATCTGTTAATTAATCTAGAGATTAAATTCATGAGGAGAACAAGCAATATTTAATCTGGAGATTAAGAAAAAACGGATTAAGCATTAATCCTGATATCCACCATTCTAAAGTTTTCAGCTCAGGCAGCTGGCAGTATTATATTTGCTCTATGTTCTCCTGATATCCAGGATATATAAGGATTATCTATTTATCTATCCAGGCAGCTGGCAGTGTTATATTTGCTCTATGTTCTCCTGATATCCAGGATATTGAAGGATTTACTTATATTAACAACTGTTTTCCTACAAGGTATTTATAGTTTAATATTTAACCCCTGCACCCCTTCCTGAGGTGTAAAATGTATATTTCCCACCTCCCCCAGAGTGTGTGCCCACGTTCTTTTTTTTCTCTTATTCTGTTAGTACTTTATCCTTCATCCATTATCTAATCTCTTCTTTCAAAACTATCTTTTTCCCTTTATTTCCATTTCTTTCTCCAGAATTTTCCCCGTTGCGGTTTCCTTCTCGCTTCTCTATTTTAAAATTTATTATATTTGGCCATAGTGATATGCATTGTTTATTATACAACGTCGTAGTGATATGCAGCGTTTATTATACATTATCGTAGTGATATGTAGCGTTTATTATACATTGTCGCAGTGATATGCAGCGTTTATTATACAACGTCGTAGTGATATGCGCGTTTATTATACATTGTCGTAGTGATATGCAGCGTTTATTATACATTGTCGTAGTGATATGCAGCGTTTATTTTACATTGTCGTAGTGATATGCAGCGTTTATTATACATTGTCGTAGTGATATGCAGTGTTTATTATACAACGTCATAGTGATATGCATCGTTTATTATACAACGTCGTAGTGATATGCATCGTTTATTATACAATGTCGTAGTGATATGCATCGTTTATTGTACAACGTCGTTTGTAATGTATTGTTTAATATACAACGTCGTAGCGATATGCATTGTTTATCTTACAACGTCATAGTGAAATGCATCGTTTATTATACAACGTCATAGTGAAATGCATCGTTTATTATACAACGTCATAGTGATTTGCATCGTTTATTATACAACGTCATAGTGATATGCATCGTTTATTATACAACCTCGTAGTGATGTGCATCGTTTATTATACAACGCCTTAATGATATGCATCGTTTTCAGGGCCATTTTTCTACGCTAAAAGTATTACACAAAAATGTAAGTTATTAATTAAATTGCAAAATTCTATTCTCAATAAGTTTGCTTAAATTACAATATGCAAAATAAAGAAATTAACCAAAACGCCTTTTTTAAAACGAAAACCGATTTTTTATCGTTTTGGTGAAAATCTTCGGTCAGAATACAAAATTCAGCATAATATAATAAAAGCATTTTTATGAAGTGTCTTGCAAGTCTAAAAACTTTGAATATTTAAAAAATGGCTTTACAAGAATGCCCCTTAGTATGTATTGGAGTTAATACAGTCTTTGAATTTATCTTCTTTATCCCTCCATCCATCCTCTATATTCTAGTCTCCCATTTATGACCTTGTCATTCTAATGGAATATATATATATATACTTATCTATCTATCTATCTATCTTTCTACTCATCTATCTTTCTATCTTTCTACTTTCCTATCTAGGTTTCTATTCATCTATCTAAACACCGTTTCTTGGGGAGGTGTCATGTTCAGGGTTAAAGGGGATGTCGTTTTCAGGGTTAAAGGGGGCGTCGTTTTGATTTCAAGTGACCTTTCATTTAAAAAGGGGTATGCCTGACTAACAATGGCAGCCTTTCAAAAATTATCTGATCAATAATAAGGATCATTTCGTTTTTCTATTCCAGCTGGAAAAGTGTTTATTTATCACAGTTTTCCTCAGTGTTTCTAAAGTAGAAATGCGCAAATCACATGATAGAGAAGGCACAATTTCTACAAGAATATTACAGATATCTCCTGCACTCTTGATAAGAGAACGTTTTAAACAGTACTGTTGTGAGTTGACCACGCCACTGAATAATACCATTTCTACAAGAAGATTACAGATATCTCCTGCACTCTTGATAAGAGAACGTTTTAAACAGTACTGTTGTGAGTTGACCACGCCACTGAATAATACCATTTCTACAAGAAGATTACAGATATCTCCTGCACTCTTGATAAGAGAACGTTTTAAACAGTACTGTTGTGAGTTGACCACGCCACTGAATAAATGTAGAGTTGCTTAAAATTAGGCAGACGCCCAAGGAAGTTACGTGCACATGCCGCAAAGAATTATAAGACAGAGTTAGAGCCTGTTCTAGCCGCGGCGCACGACCCCCTAGCATGTCCTAGCAGCGGCGCTCGGCCCCCTAGCCTTCCTATCCGCAGCGCTCTGCCCAGAAAGTGTCTTAACAAATTAACATAACCCTAAAAAATCTCTATCTTCTTGTAATTCAACGCGGCAAGTGTATGCAACTTCCTTGGGCAGCTACCCTGAAATTACGTTTAAAGTAAAGGGGTAAATATGATAATTT